CTTTTAGTAAGACTTCTGCCTCCCAAGATAATTTACCTTACCAGCAATTATAAATATACTATAAAATTATATTCCCTGTTACATTATATTATACTTTGAAAAGGTTAAAAAAATTGCAGTCCATTTTATTTTCATAGAATAAGCCCTTAAAATGTGCCTAAAAGGAATACAGAACTATAAGTTAATTTTTTTAGTCAAAAAACAGGAGAGTCTGATTAGCTCAGATCTCAAGACACCTGATGCCTCAAATAAAAAAATTAATTCCCACTAAAACTGACTTATACTTTTAAATTTGAGAAAAATCAGCTTCCTATATTACCACAGAAGCTAAATAGAAGCACAACTGTAACTTTTGTGTCTAATTTGAAAAATGTATCATTTCTGGCAGCAGGACAAAGCAACACGACACTTAGCAATCTTAAATTTGGTTTGATGTTTGGTGTTTCTTTTTATAAGTTACACTTTTGGAGATGACAAATAGTCTGAACATAAAGAGCACTAAGATGTGAATGTACAGTTGTTGTAGCAATTGCGAGCACCAGCAAGACTTTAGTCTACACATAAAAAGCAACACATTATCATTACTTTGACCACATACCATTCAAACTCAAAGCATGCCTGCTGCTACATCATTACAGTCCACCTGCAGGCCTTATTTGATCCATGTTAGAACAACAACTGATTCTGGCAGTTAGAACTGCATTTAATCAGTCTTTGGTCACTCTCTAGTTTATACATATTTATACTTGAGCCTTAACAGGACAGCTGTCATCATAGCTCTGGGCACTTAAGCTTCAGAGAACTAACCCACTTGTACTTACTGTCTTTAAGCCCTACTAAAATCTCTGCAACAAAGAGAATATGTAATTATTTAACAATTAACTCAAGAGGCCATAAACCCAGATATATTCCAGTTCTGAAAGTCCTTTTTTCTCCCAATATTTAGCTTTTTTTTTTTATTTTATCCAAATGCTTAAAGTTACACATTTCTTCATCTATTAAATGACACCTATTTCTTAAGGTAGGGAAAGCGAAGAAAGCTTAAATGCAACATATTTTTACCAGAATCCAAAAAGCACAAGCTAGAAGAAAGTAGCATGACACATATGACATTTAAAGCCCAAGATTACACAGAGACCCACAGAAGTTACTAATGACCCTCTCTGATCACCAGCTTTCTTGATTGTTACCATGCCATCATCGCTCTGCCATTATGAAAACTTTGAGACCTTCCTGTACAGAAAAGCACACCTATTCCTGTCCACTTACATTTACAAGACACCTCCACCTCTCCAGTCCAAATGCACTGCACTTTGCTCCTTAAAAAGTCACATAGACACCATTCAAAACAGGCTGAATTTGAAACTGAATTGTGAAACACCCATCTTCATCATCTGAAGGATCAATGCTTCCCAGTTGCTTAATATGCTAAAGCTGATCATCTTCAGATGGTATTTGTTCTAGATGTGTTCTGTCTTGGAAAAAAAATCCAGCTTTTAGTTAAAATTAATCCACAATTACCAAGTGTGGAGTAAATTCCCCTCTCCAGCAAGTTACTTAGTCAAATGGGAGAAGACTGATGTAATACTACAAAACTACTACAGAAAGACACATATCATGGTAAACTATTATTTTCTTTGGTTACTAATAGTCCAAAGATGTTACAGATGAATTCCGTAACTTTTTAGAATAACTTTTTCCTCTCTTTCTAGTAAGATTCTTGCTCATCTTTCTCTTCTCTTGCCCCACCCCCTTTTATTTTAATTGTGGACAAAGATGAATGCAGAATTGCAACAGCAAGTGCAGATATGGGTTTATGTTACTTAAAATAAAAGAACATTGTGAAATGGATGTTCACTACATGTTTGAAAAAAGCACACCACATTCTTCTAAAAACTGTCACCATTATTCTTGTGCTTATAGTAACATGCTATAGGCTTAAATTTTCTCCCTCTACCATATTCTCTACACTTTCCCTTCTCACATTGCTAGCTTTTGAAGAAGGTTCATTATGGCTATTTTATGCTTAAGTACTGTCAGCTGCAAGGAGTGTCAAAAGACGGGCATAGCCAGCAACAGGGGTAACACAGAGCACTCACAAGCCGTCTGTAGTGTCCAGCAGCATCTGACAAGCCTGAAGAGTCTATGAATGTATTTACATATATTATTTCCTCCAGCAATTTTTGAACGTTTAAGTAAGAAGATGCTTTGGAAGTTGTCTGGCTAGTAACAAAGATCCAATTTACATTTGTGAGTAAGATAATATTGACTGTTTTCTTGCAGTGTTAGGAGTCACGTTTTAAAGCTATGTGAAGGTCTGATAAACATCAGATCTAATTAAGCACCTGTAGCTTCTTTACTAAATCAGTATTAACTCAGGTTTACTTATTGCTTGTAAACAATTCTAAAACCAGTAAAGGTAAAGGTTCACATTCAGGTGGAATTTCATAAAGCTTTCTTCAGAGAACAAGTAATTACACATTCTCTCTTTTAATTACTAAAAACAGTCTTTATGTTAAAAGTATCAAAATTTCAAGGCCTTGGGTGGTAGATTAACATGAAAATACATTCAAAATAAAAGTACTAAATACAATAGGAAAGAGAACCTGGAAATTTTCATTAAAGTATTGTTTGTTCAAAGTATGATCTCTTGAAATAGTCAAGCTTCAGTTGATGTATCCCACACACATTACACACAGATCCACACCCACACACAAAGATATAGGCCCTTCTTTAAAGGGCATTAATTACTATGGCAACTACTGTTGCTGATATAGGCAACTCCATTTATTCTATCATTATTTGCATACCCCATAAAACACCAGAACCCCATGATATTTGCAAATACTGTTCATAATCCAAGTTTATCCTACTTTATCCAATAATTATTTGAAATATACCATCTTGTGACAACAAATTTTCATGTATCTTAGACTAAATGAATATACAAGACAGACTTTGTCACAAAAAGAAACATGGTGCAGATTTGTGCCCAAACTTTTAAATAATTCACAGTAATTTCAGAAAGCTGAAATACATCTCATCCTTCTATATCTAACACTGTCTGAAAATTTCAGTGTGGAACATATTCAGAAACAGCACCCTCCCATCATTATTTTTTTCCAAAACACTGATAAACAGGTGCTCAGATACAGTAAGACTGATAGAATACACAAGCAAAAGCTTGTTTCTGTATTTTTATACAGTCTAATAGTATCTCTACACCACTAACTTAATATTACAATTTATTACAACATAAACAAAAGCTGTATTAAAGGAACCAAACTGAAAAAAGGCTTAAAAAAAAAAAGAAAATTCAGGCTTCAAAGTGCTAGTGTAACTGTTGCCTATGCAACCTTGTAAGAATGGAGATTGTACCACATTATACATTTGTATAAATACGCACACAACTTTACACACTGTTCTACCGAACCTCCACCCTGTTCAGTGCACAAAACAATTAAGAAACAGTTATTCAGTATTTTATGTGTTTTGCCCAATGCATGATCTGACTTCTCTTTCCAATATTCTCCAAATAAACAGAATTACTACAATGTCCCTTCCACAGCACTGTGTTACAGGAACTAATTTAATGTTTTAAAATATCCCAAGAGACATTTTTTTCATAGATAGGAAGTCAAGTGAATCAAGAGATTCACAAAGTTATACAGGAGGAAGACTTGGTAAATTTTAGTTTCCCTGCCTTCTATAGACTAAACTTAGTCTGCAGAGGCTTTTCTGCTCAGATCCTCCAAGTTTAGTCCCATCAGTTCTGCTGCTGTCCTACCTCAGGTTCCTTGTCTCAGACTTTTTCTCTTTTCTGTCTGCCCAAATTCCATGATTCAGGACAGTCAGTTGAATATCCTTGCCAAGCCTGACATCTTCTAGACTTCTCTTACCTCCACTCTTGTCTACTAGTCCCACTTTCCGTGCCCCTCTCATTTATTTGTCCAATCTGCACTTAACCATCCCCAGCAGTTCCACTAGTCAGCCCCTCTATCCATCCTTGAGAGAGATACCAGTTCCCCACAGCTACCAAGAGAATACTCCCATGATGTCCTCTGCCAGCTCTCTTGTCCCAGGCTCTTCCTCCCTTTGTCAGATACTTACCCAGCCCTTCCTCCTCCTTAAGAAATATGCCTTTTTTTTTCATCTGCCCTCTTCCTCTTCTCTATGGTTTCCAGATTCCTTCACTTGTAAATCATCATTTCAGCAAAGAATTATTTCCCTCATTCTGGTCACGTTATTGTTCTTTAGGTATTCAAATAGACATAAGGTACATTTGTTCTTTTCTGCCTCCCTCTTCTACCCCAGTCGTGTGACAGCAGAAGATTCTCAAAAGCACAGGAGGAGAAGATTCCCCTTCTCCTTTCAACATCTAGTCTGACCGATTCCTGAGCCCTGAAATTTGTACTGCAGCACACTCACTCTGCAAAGAAAGCACACGTGCAGTAAGGTCATACTCACATTAAAGAGATGCTCCGAAGTCTGAGAGATTTTAGCAGTTAAAGACACAATTATTTCTACCCACATAAATTGATATTTTTCAGGGGGTCTGCTAATTTGCATAAAGTTTCTTATTTCTCCATAGGAGAAGAGAAATATATACAGCAGATAAAAGCCATCCCCTTAACACATTTCCAGATCTAGCTCGAAATCATTATTTAAAGCATTCTACATAAAATGTCCCAATAATCTAGCGAGGTAGAATAATTTTACCAGGCTTTTCCTCAGAAGAGTTGAGCTACTTTGAGTAAGAATCTTCTTAAAAACTGTTTCAGGCCAAGGGAAACCACTCCACATAGAAAGGCCTGAAATGACATTTCTGCCTGAACAGGAAGAATTGCATGCACTTATGAAATAATTTTCAAAGGGAACAAAAGACATTAACAGAACAACCAGCTCTTTTTCAGTCACATTTACTTCAGAGTTGTAAGAGATACCTAAGAATTTTTGTTTCCATTAGGTCATTTGCTTTCTTATGTTTGTGTTTAACTTACCGAACATTTTCTGGTCTCAATTTATCCAGTACCATCTCTATTAAATCAGGTCTGAATTCTTCAAGCAAATACTCAGCAGCCAATACTTCTTCTATTGGATAGTACTAAAAAACAAAGCCCAGAAACACGTAGATGAATAAACAAAACTAAGCATGAAAAAACCTACGGTTCAGAAAAGAAAACAAAAGCATATACTTTTGGTCACAAAATCTGTATTACCTCTGTAACTTCAAATTAGAAGTGTGTAGATGTTTTAAAACTAAACAAGAAGGAGTAACATTCTATCTATGCAATCATATTTCTCATGTATTAGGCAATTTTATATACTGCAGATTTACCATTCTTTTCTCTTGAAATATTTTATGTCTCAATATAAAAAGTCACCCACCTTTAAATAGTATTTTGAGTAAAGTAAAAAATAACGTGGTAAATGCTGACCCCTGCAGGATATTTTTAAAGATAAAAGAATACCAAGTACTCTACTAGACTGAATTTGGGGAAAAAAATGCAAGTAAGCAAAAACAAATAAAAGGAAGAAACAAAAATACCACCCCATAAAAAATCTCCCAAATAACCACTAAGTTCTTTTAGGATTCTCAAATAATTCAATTCTTATTTACAGTAATTTAAAGGTTAAGTATATTTCAATATCTAAAAGCATAATACAGATTTAAACACTTTCAATTCTAACATTCTTTATTTAGGACCAAGCTGAAAATCTCTTAAGGTACACGACAACTTAAGAAAAAAAAAGTTTAAACTTGTCTGAAAATGATTAGTGTGGTTGATAGGAAAACTTTCTTGATAAACACCTGAGAGGGAAAATTACCAGATGACACTGAGTACTTGCAGTCTGCCAGGCAGCTGTAATTTTTTTGACCGAAATTATTACAAAATTACTTTCTGAATTACATACATTATACAAAAAAATTACTGTGGAATGACTTCCAGAACACTGAGTAACTCATAAAAAGTATTCTGGAAAAGAGAAAGAGCTGCAGGGCTGGAAACCAAGGACAATGAATCAAACCTGTGTTAAAAAAAATTCAAATGTAAATGCTAAATATCCAGAATTTGATGCTCATTTAACTACTAAAAGCAGAATGAGAATTACCATTCATACTGCAAAGCACAGCAAAAGAAAGGCAGTGAAAAAAAAGTCCTGAATCACTACCATACTCTTTGGAACACTTCTGGCAACTTCCTGGCCTGATTTTTGAAGCAATTGTGATCAGAAACGATCCAACAAATACAAACCACTGAAAGACTGTTTCAGAAGTTAGAAGTCCATTTGTTACATAGATTTTAGGCATTTGACTGAACAAAAGCAAGAGACAGCAGCCCAAACACGACTTCTTTAAACAACCATTTAAATTATTTCAGTTCAGTCTAATGTTTTTTAGTAAACAAAGAAAATTCTAAAATTAAAGATCACTATTTTAGACTTTACAAATTAAAGGTCTAGGACCATTAACAGGAATTCCTGCAAAGAAACCGAAAGTTTCTCTGAATAAATGCAGACATTAGCTATGCAATGAAGAACGGCTGCAATCTATAAAAGTTACATAATTTCACCAGACAAAAAGAACCCAACAAACAAACCCACCTAAATGTTCCAAATGAGGGAACTGAATTCTGCAAGAAGTATAAAGACCAAGTAAAAGCTACACGATGGTTTTTTCAGTACCAACACATAATCACATCAGTAAAGTCAAACATTTGTAATTTGCAATCTTAATACAAATATTTCTGCTTACTGCAGTATTTCAACATTGTTAACTATGGAACATAGTGCTCATGTTAATGATAAAATACTACTTCTCTAATATTTTCCCTAATATTTCCTATTTAGCTACAGGTAGACACAGAATAACAAGCTACCTAAGTCTTAAGAAACACTGAAACAGATCAAATAGCAACTCCAGTTACTGTATAATCAGTTCTACCAAGTATAGAAGTATAAAACAGTAGAGCAAACAGAATGTGACCTATTGACTGCCAAAACTAAGATGTATGCAGCATGGTATTAGCTTCCTAAGCACAAAAAGTGCAGAGGACCTTTGCAGATGCCTGTATTTATTAAGATTATAGTCAAACACACAGCTAAATGATTATTAAAAAAACCAACAACCAAACAAAAATGACCCCCCTCCACTTACATGCAACATTCCTCCAAGCTTTGATGTATAACCTCGTGGTCGCTCTTTATCTTTAAATCTGAATGCCACAGCATTTAGATCCTAGAAAACAATGTATGAATGACTGAAGAGCATAAATTAAAGCCTATTTTAAGAATAATTATTTGCTACTTCATTCCTTTTTATAATGAAAGAAAACAAAGTACTTTTGTTGTATCCGTATTATAGCAGTTAGACAGGTACCTAACACAAGTTTTCAGTAACACTCAAGTTGCATAAAACTCACAAGCAATTTGGGATAGTATCACAACATGAAGTGTTATACGAGTCTTGTAAGTCCTGTTCATAGTAAGAGATCTATCCCATATCTCATATATTTAAATTTCCTGATAACTTGAAAACACACCAACTCTGATACAACCATAGGTTGCAGTGCAATGTTTGTTGTATGTTAACGAACTGAAGTCTTTCCCTCTTCCATTTTTCTTCCTTTTGTTCAGCCAGCCAATAGGTAAGTTTAGAGATAGAAAGAGTGTGTTTCTTTATGCTGTCTTAGCCACAGAAATAGAACACATCATTCTTAGGATACAATGCCAAGGGTGAATTAAAGAAATCTAAGACTATACAATCAGTGAAAAGTACAGTCCATCCTTCCAAGAAACCATGCAGAGAGTCTGATTAATTCAACAGTTCAGCTGAAAATAAACTCTAAAGATTCTTTTCATACTAGTTTGCCAGCTCTCTGACTCACCCCACAGTCTCAGGAGTGCTGGGGCTGATACAAGAGGAGCAAGGGAAAGACACAGGGATGAGATAGAAGGATGGAACTACCTCTTTCAAATCTTCTATTTGCTTACTCTGTAAAGTGAAAAAAATCCATTGGGATTTTTAGCAGAGTATAAAGAGACTTGAGACTATTTTTATAGGTGTACAGTGTCAAAGTGTAAGAAACAAAGCTAACCCAGCTGCAGAATTTCTGCTCCTAGAAGAGACTCAACAGTTTTCATAAAAAAAAGCTAAGGTGGAACAAGAAACTTTCACCCAAGCACATATAGTGAACCAATGAGACTATACACATAAATAAAACTGGGTTTATTTCACACTGACACTGAGGAATACAGTGCTATCTAATTCTAACAAGATACTTTACATTTTTGCCCTGTGCACACAGAACCATTCAGACTTGTAAGAAGCATGAACAGTTCAGCAAAGACCGAAGTGTACAGCCAAAGTACTCCATGAACAGCCTTTAGTTCACTTTTCAAAAACATGAGGGAACAAACAGCAAATGTCCCATTGCCTTTACAATCTCATCTATAGAATTTGACACATGAAAGAAGAGAGGGGTAGAATAACAGCCATTTCAATTTCCAATTCAATGTTACCCCTCAGAGAAAATGTTTCCTTCCCCTCCTCCTTCAGTGAAGACTAAGGAAGGTTATGAAAAATCCTTGTGGAAAGAGCAAGATCCTTCTTCCTTCACCTCCATTATGCTATCATAACCCACAGCTCTGTAAGAGTTTTTTATACCTATGTTAAGACAACCTATTCTGAATGTACTTGTCATTTGTGTCATGTTGCATCTTCAAAATCAATAAACTTAACTACCATGTGATTATTAAAGGCTACTTACACAGTCAAGTAATCTGTTTCTACTTATAATTAAAAAAAAATTTTGTAAAAATACAACCCTTGCACATATCAAGTCTCAATTACTTACCTTGCACTCTTGGAAAACCCATTCTTGAGGTCCTTCTGTACGTAGTTTTTGAATATATTGAAACATGTGCAAAATAATATCTTCAACATGCACTGGAAAGAAAAAAAAAAACACCTTAAAAATCCACTTAGTTCTTCACAAAGACGGAATTCTGATGAACACAAATATGGTTTCTATGATTTTATTTTTCATTACACTTTGATACATCAAGAAATTTAAGGACACATCAAGATATTTAAGGACATCTGCAATCCCACCAGCAAAGTTAAACCAGCTTTTCTCAGACATGAATTTCAGTGTTTATGTCCCCATCTAATTCCAAGAACTGCACTGAACATGTCTTCACATGAAGATATTGATTTATAATATAATTTAACTTGGGTCTGAATAGTATGAATAAGTAGCACACAACAGGTATTAACAGCTTTTACAGAAATTTATTTGAAGTATCTAATTAACTTAATATAATCTCAAATAAATTGATTTCTTAGGTGACCTGTGTTAGCATAGTGTGTTAGCATAGTGGGAGGATCTAAACAAAGAAGAGTAATCAGTTAAAATAAATTGGCTTTCAAGCTATAATTACAATTAGTCTCTTCGGATACAAACACAAACCCATCAGATCAGGAATAACATGGAATGAAGGCACATTGCTTCACTTACAAAGTCCTTCCTCTGTCAAGTCCACATTAATGATGAAAAACATGAAACCTCTAGCACCTTCCTTCTGGCCTCCAACAAGAGTATTTACCCATCCTATGACATCAGAAAGAAACTTTATTACATAAACAAATGTGTAACAATTTATGCAACTTTTTGTATGCTTCAGCAACATAACTTTTTTAAAACATATTTTGATTAATTTACATGTGCTCCTTCTCTTCCTTAATACTTACAGCAACAGTGCAAGTTAAATATAAACACAAGTCAGAACTATCTGATTTTGTACTCAGAGTGATATCACAAACTCAAGATCATTTGATTACTAGGTAATTTATTTCTGCTTGGAACAGAGTGATATAAGGAAAAATAGCATAAGATACCTTGCAGTCTTCCAGACATTAAGGGAGCTGACAAAGTAGTCTCAAAGTCAGTGACAGAATAGAAACACAATCATGTCAAAGTTCATATAACTATCTTAATAGGGCAGATAAAGGGGACTGCAAGAAATCATAGCTTCAGCAGTCTGAGTGCTTATTAGCTATTTATGTTTACCTGCCACAGAAATAAAGCGCCAAATCACTAACAATTCAAATTACTCAAGTAGTTGAAGGCTTTAACATACAGAGGTCAATTTTAAGTGAAACTCAGTTAAACTTGAAAGAAATGTGTGATCAAATATTTTTTTAATTGTTCAACTTCAAAGGACTTACCTTTGGCTTTAAGCTCTGATAGAAGACTCCCTGGGCCTTCATGCCCAATCAGATGACCAAGGTAATGGCCAGGGTTTGATTTATAGTATTTCTGAAGGTCTGGTATAGGAAATGTGACATAAAGATTTCTAATATCCTTAATGGGTACCACCTTGTAAAGTTGCTGAGGGGGAAAAACAAACGAAGAGACCCATAAACAAAGGGAAACTCATTTATTTTATTCCTCTCAGGAGCACATATTGTGTTCTTCACACACACACTTTATTTCCAATGTACCTTCAAACTCTCAAGAGTAAAGATATCTAAAACTTAGGGTAATGTGTAGCCATTCATAAGGCAAACAAAAAGAAAACTATCTCTCAGTTGCTTACAGCTGTAACCAAATGTACAACCTTTACTATAAACTATTCAAAACTACACTCGGCATGGAAAAGTGGGTGGAAAATCAATAAACGGACATGGAACTTGACAGGGACATGGATAAAAAAGTAGTGAAGTATATAATGTTTATTGAAACATAAAAAATATCATTGAAGGTATACACTCCTGATGGACAGTGTATCTCTATACGTACCCGGAGATGCTCTTCTTGGAAAGGATGTTCAGGAAACTCTGGTATAGGGACATTTTTATTCTCTACTTCTGAAAATAACTTTACCACTAAGCAAGTCAGCTCATCCAGAGATTCTAGAATAAAGAAACATTAGAAAAAAACACAGTCATTATCTGAAGACTCTGGTAAACTTGGGGTTTGAATATTTTTCGGGAGAGACATGAATTACACAGAAAAGTAGTTTCAATGGTGTTATGATAGTTAATTTCAGAACGCAAACCTATATTCGTACTTAACTTTTGAACTATAACATGCTAGAAACACCATGTTTATTAAAGGAAGGCTTCAATCATTATTAAAATAAATCCTGCAACCTAAAATAAATTTTACTTTTTACTGATAAATCTAAGCTAGAACCAAAGAAAAGATACACCAGCTATTGAACATTTACAAAAACAAACATTCCACAAAAAGCTTAAGGGACATGGAATTACAGCTGCAAATCTTCTAGACTGAAAACATCTTTGCCAAACTCGAATTTTCTTAAGCCTCAGCTCACATCCAGTATTTCAGATACAGGGGGAGTCAGGTCATCTGTCCTCAAGCCCCCCAAAATGACACATCTGTGACCTGTTTAAACACTTCTACTTTTACATCCATTCTAGTTTCAGTCTGTGACTGTAGTACTCTGCAAAAATGAGCAGCAGACCTTCTGCAGAAAGAATTTCATGTCGTGCATTAATTCACCTAAACTGACCTGTACCATTTCTGTTAAAATGCTGCCTTCAAAACTGCTATGTGCATTTTGGAGCACTTCTCAAAGTGTGAATAAGATAAAAAAGACTCATCTGTCAATTTTTTAGCATACGCCTTTCAAGGGTGGGCGTTGGAAGAAAAAAACGTGCATTTCTTGGACGTCTCAAAGCAATGGATCTCAAAGGATGTCTCAACATTAATCCTTGACAGATTTCAAAAGCAGTTATCAACTGGTTATCAAAACAATTCCAGTTAGACTGAGAAAGTAGAATCTTTCCTAAACAAAATACATGTGCTCCTACACTAAGAGAACTGTTCAGGGCAAAAAAACAACAAAACAATGCAAACCAAGATGGTTCACTGTATACCAAAATTTTGTGAACTACATGTAATTCTATTACAAACCTCTATTTTTTATTCACATCACCAAAATACACATTCATTTAAGCTTTACAACTACAGTGACGGTTTCCTTTAGTATAGATTCCCAGTTGCCAGGGTGATTCTTACTGAAAGCTTCCATTTAAAATTACTCAGTGAATTCTGCTTTTGATTAGATAAAGAATTAATTTTATTCCACTCATATCCACCATCCGAGCACTACTGTAAAACACCACATAAATACCAGTCTGTCAGCATATTTTCAAAAAGCAAACCATTCTCAACGCACTGTTATTAAGCTTTTAACAAATATATGCAAAATATCATCTTGTGTAGAATGTTTTAAGCAGTTGGAATCTTCATTTTCTTCTAATATATATGTAAAGACTTACTTAACCAACAGAACAAAACTCACCTCTTCCTAAGACACAAATAGCCATTAAATTTGACGAATAATAAGTAGAATGGAACTTCAATAGCTCTTGCCTGACATCTATTCCTTCTTTGGTTGGTCTAGTTTCCAGAGTGAGTTTGTTCCCTGCAGCATAAAAACAGTTAACAATATTTGACATCTATGAACTCACAGATTGAAAATAAATATATTAATTAATTCATCTGCTTTCCTTGGGACGGATATCAATTTTTTAAATAATTTCTATGCATAATAAGTAAACTGGATCAGTATGGTGTTATATTTTAAATATTTTGTCTATATTCCTCATCATCTAAAGACAAATTAAATTGTGAAGTTCTAGATACCCTACTGTGTTTATTCCCACAGCATCAACATATAGGTTAAAATAAAATAACACAAAGCTGAAGCTTTAATTCAGTAACTGTGCTGTTACAGTATCTGGAGTACATTATGAAGCAACAGTCAGAAGACACCCTGTAGATGTAAGAAAACAGACACTAGACAGTGCAGAAGTGCCTGGGAAACCACTTGATGCTGTTGAGGGCACTGATGGAGAAGAATTGCCATCACAGGCATTAATTCAGAGAGATCAGTGATGGGTATTTGGGGCACACTTTAACAAGAAAACTGGAAGACTAAGGTGTATTTGTTTCTATGGACAGACAAAGGACAATAGAAAGTTTGCTGACAAAACAAGCTGCACAGCAACCAAGAGCGACCTGAAGCATCAAATGGAGGCATTCCTATACTGTTCTGCATTAACAACATCTTAGCTGATCAAAAGGAAACAATAAGGATACCAAATGTAACTGTCATGAAAAACATGTCACAGATGTCATCTCTTCGGGTAAATAAAAAACATCAAAGCTGGGCTCTCCTTCTGCCAGGTCATATCTACAGGAAGGCTATGTGCTATCACTTAATCTCAGAATCAGAGCCTAATCTAAGGAGAGTTGAATATGACCACTGCTGTTGAATTTGAGCACTCTTTGGATACTCTCCCCATGAAAACGTTTCTCTTATGTCAGCTAAACAACCTTCTTAAAATGGGGAAAACTATTTAATATCTTCAGTAGCAGAGATTAACAAATGTACATTAAACACTTGCCTATTAATTAGTATTTCCCAAGACTCTTTTTTTCAAATTTATCTGTTTGGAGAATGCAGTTATAGCTTTGCTTTCACAGACAGCTTCCCTTTACTGGTCAACGGAGCAATCAATATGTGCTCCCACAGCAGGTGGCTACCAGACCCATAATTATGCTCTCCATCAGCAGGTGCAAAAATATTCTTGTCTTTCTGGAGACAGAGAAGGAAACTAGTCCCTTAAAGCCCATTATCTGCTCTCCCTGTCATCCTAACTGTCCCCAATATTTGAGTCAACTATTCACAGTACAAACTGACTCAGCCACAAAATGCATTGATGCTCAATGATTAAACAGTGCAGCCGTATTACTTTGACAGTTTCAAAAATAAATTCATGTCAAAAGTAACTTCTACGGAAAAAAAACCAAAACCACCAACATTTAAACTTCTACCAAAGCATCAAACATTTGTGGTTTTGACCATAACTATGGTATCTCACTTCAATGCTTTTTAAATTCAGGTTTTGGGGTGTTTATTTTAAATTGTTACTAAGCATTCTGTGAATAATTAAGCCTGAACAAAAAAATACAGCCATAAGATTGGAATATGTGCAAGATCATTTTATCTATCCATCTCCTACTGTTGTGCTCTATGGTAAGATGTTGTTTCTATATTCCTACTCAGTAATTTTCACTTCACTTTGCTGATCTTTCTGATTTGACCTAGTCACTGTCACCTAGTCTAAATGTTAGTTAACAAAAAGAGCATGTGGCTTACAACAATTTAAACAAAATTCATTCACTTTTTATGTTCGAAGACTTAACAGTACCAAATTATGACAAATCCAGTAACTGGAAAACAGTATTCACTGCAGTAATTATCAGAATCATAAAGGTTGCTTCATCACTACACTCCAAGTCTTGGATCTCTCTGTTTCCTATGCTTTTGTCTAGCTCTGTTTGGTTTATGATGTGGAAAATGTGATAAAGCACCACGATAAATATGTATGGAGAGGAAAAAAAGGGAATTGTTTCAGTCTGTCTTTAGCAATTTTATATAAACAATACTACTATGTATGTTACACAGAACTCCAATGAAAGATAATTATATTCTGACAAACCTGTTCCAAATTTACTGAAGGGATGATTGGGGTTTCCAGTAGCCTTCTCCAGTTGAAACAACCTCCAGGCATCATTCATCAGATTCTTCTCATGCTCAGAATCAACAGCATTCACTTCCCTGTCTTTGCAGCTTTCATCAAACAGAGGGCACAAGAAAAACTGGGCAAATCTAAAGAGAAAAACTTTAATTCAATCAAGAGTACTGTACATAAATGGTAACAGAAAAGTAATAAGCTTGGTACCTCCTGGAAACAACTGAATACATTCTTTTTTAATGCAGAACTTATAAATTCTGTAACAGTTTTGACACTGATTCAATATCTTTATTTCTCAGTCTCTCAATTATGTATAAATGCAGACAACACATTCATCATATAAGGTACTAAAAGAATAAGGACCCTGCATCACAATTCTCACTGAAACTTTCTAGTGTTTTGAGGTTTAACTGCAGGAGGCTCTTAATCTCACAAATCAAGTAAATCTTGTCAGACATCCAGGGAGAAGCCAAAGTAAACTCATTCTTTACCTCACTGACTACACACTTTTCAATTTCTGTCCTGTTCCCTTTACTAAAAGCATCCTAATATATTTCTAGACTTCACCCTGCTTTTGCTATCAATGCCTAAATTCATGATCATATTCTGTGACCCACATTTCCAAAAATACTCACTGTAAACACGACATTTAAATTTAAAAAATTCTGCCTCAGTGAAGAACTCTGCTAGCCGAAAAATAAATCTTAGCAAGACTTTTAAACAGAAAAATATCTGGTTATCAGTTTTAACAAAAGATAGTGCTCTCAACCCTTTTTTTAATATCATAACAATAGAACTAGCAAAAAACTTTTACACTAATTCAAGTAAAACCTACAGAACAAAAATGTCAATCTTAAAAAATGTGTTTACCTGTCTAGTGCACCTTCTAGATGTTCATGTGACACATCGAAGTAATAGTTGGTATGTTCACCACTCGTGAATGCATTTGAGCTCCCAGCATGCTCACTTAGGAATTGGCTATACTCGTTCTCTTTTGGGTATTTCTTGGTTCCCAGGAACAACATATGCTCACAAAAATGACTAAGCCCAGCAATGTTGGGGGGATCAGACAAGGATCCTACAGAAAGAAAAATTTCATGTAACCATTCACAAAAATTAATACTAAAACGTTAAGCCTTTTAAGATGTTCTACATTACAGTTCATTGCTTCAGGTAATTATGTATCAATTCTGTAGCTGTAAGCAGGCACTTGAGCAACTATAGTCAACTAAACTTAATCTTAAAAAAAAAATTAAAAATTAGAATTAGTAATAATCAATTAGTGTATCAACCTGCCTCTTCAAATCAGCTTGCCCTTCCTTATATAGGCAACTTTTCAATTGAAGTCTGTGACTCATAATCTGTAAAGACCTGGCAGATCACACTGTTCTAAATTCTATACCTTGACTGTACTGTGTTAAAAGGCAGCGACTGCCAACCATAATTAAGGAGGTATTTATCCAGGACAAGTGATAACCTGTGATTGCCTGAACACAAGCACCTATGGATGACCAGCTAGTAGGTGTGAAGGCAAACAAATTATAAGACAATAATGATTTGGAAGAATGGAAGACAAAACCACGGAAGTTTGAGTCTGGCAGTCATGCTTTGGAGTGTGCAGCGATGTGCAATGGGAGATCAGAGATGAAGGCAACAGATACATCTCCTCCAGTAGACACACACGAACTGGACACAGCAGCTGGCTATTACTGCCATATACCTAAACAAAACCACATTCGGGATCCTCTGAACTAGATAATGATTTGGGACTGCTACCTCCATAATAAAAAAGGTCAGAAGAAGTTACTCTATTACTTCTCCCCTAACACCAACAGCAGCAAGAGCTCCCAACTACAAACTTGGTAAGAGATTGTAGTTATGTGTGGGTGCATCATACTTTCCAAGCAAGTGAAAAACTACACAAGCTTGAGAAATACCTCAAATATAAGGAAAGGCTTGCTTTATTCCAAACAGTCAAAGTAACTGCCTTTCCCTTCTATTTCCAGTATTTGTTTGCACACAAGCATCACTGGAGTTAGGGAGAGCCTCCAACTTCTCCAGCATTATAGCATTTTCTCACCTCTACACATCAACAACTAAACATGAAAAAAGCAAGTCTGACATGACAGATGGAGCTGTCTAAAATAATTGCACCTACACCCGTCCCTTTCCTGCTTACAAAAGATCTTTCATAACACGAAACTTCATGGTTAAAAGCAGTCTCTCTACTGACTGAGCTACACTTGAGTAAACACAGAGTACAGTAAGAGCATTTAGTTAGCTCTAATAATTTTCAACTTGATGTGTCAAAGAATTAAACTCCAAATTACAACAAAAGGCTAAGCTGCCAACTGCATACCACTCCTGTCAGTTTATCTGCAATCAAGATACCAAAACCTTACGCATTTTTATTAATGACATAATGAACACAGCATGAATTAAATACCTATGTGGACATCAAGTGCTGCTGAAGACTTATCTGTGGTGGGGTCACTAATGAGAAGAGCTTTAATGCCATTTGCCAGTTCCAGTCCACGATATTCTCGTTTATCCTCAGGTGATTTGATAATTTCATTTGTTATTCTCTTAATAGCTGGATTGTTCATTTTGTTGTTTGTCTCCTTCTGAAACCTTGAAGAAAACAGAAGAAATTTCACTTATTATTTTTACTTAAGCCTTGCAACTATTTTAATATTATGTTAGACAATACAGGGCAATACTGACAGCAAGAAGTTCTATTCTGCAAAAAAAACTCACCTAGTTTGCCTAAAAGTATAGTTCAGATCCTGAAAGATATTGCTGTTAAAACAAAAAAAATCCTGAAGACCAAGAAACATAATAAAAATGTAGATCACATAACTGAATGCTTCAAGTATCATACTACTGGTAATTTAAAAAACTCCAAACTTAATACATGTCATTCCCTTATTCGATTATGATAAAATTGAATTAAATGAAGCATACACCGCTACCTCAAGTATACTTTCAAAAGTATCTCATGTGTCTGAATTGGTGGTTATATTATGAATGTTGTAACTTTGTGATTGTTAGATAAACAAAATTTTACTAACAGATTACTGGATTTGTACACTCAAGCAAGAAATGGTAACACTGTTTGCAATGTTGCCACTAAAATACAAACACACTGCAGAACTGTCATGATAAACAGGAATAGACCGTCTCACACGTTTAAACTTGTACTATTAGTTTAACAGATGCTATGAGACGCTTCTTTAATGGCACAATTTTGAAATGCTAAGAAACTAAGTGTGATTCTGAAATCATAAACTGTGGTTATACATTTTTTTAAATGCCAAGTGAAGAGGTAAGACATTCAGACTAGGATATTTGTGGAGGTAGAGTAGAACCCCTTGACTGTGTGTTAAAAATAAAACAAAAACAACACACAAATAACAAACAGCAACACAAAACCGAAATAAAAACGTCCAAACAAACCACAAACACACACAAAAAGAGCACAAACCCCAGACGTGGGAAATCAGAAAGCTACGCTCTGAGATCATTCACATGGTGGATTCCTGTATGTAACAGCCACTGAATTCTGTCTTACAGGAAGGGTTTTAGAACAGGGTCTGTTCTATAAATATATAGTACCAACAAAACTTAATCTTTTCCTGTGGTGAAACATTGCTTGGCGTACTGCTGCTCAATTTACTACATGGGCTTCGTTAGTCATCACTGAATTCATTTCACTTAAAAAACCAGCTCCAAGTCCCACTCCCCACCACAACACATACATACAGGCATGAGAAATTTGTTTGTATCACATAGATAAGACAGAGTTTCACAGCATTTCTGTTCCATTTTCAGGCTGTACGATTCAAGGAACTTCCTCCAAGTTTTAAAACTATGTACAAGCTTAAGGCCCTAGGGGATGTAACAACGTGAAGGACTGCAAAGTTCTCAACATACAGATTGTTTCAAGGTACTCACTTATGACATTTTAATCAACTCTCTAGCTAGCAAACCAACTGCATACTCAGTGTTACAGATATGTGACAAAAAACTCTGAAAAAGAAAATCTGATTACATATTTTACTTACAGTTTAAAATTACATATGAAAGGGAGTCAGCTAATAAAATCTCCTTCCTAAAATACTGTTATCATTCTCAAAAAGAGAAGCAGTTCTGAAAGCTACTGTCCCTCTGGATCATCTCCTTCGAATTTATTCATGTGACTCCATGGTATAAAAAAAACAGCCAACTTGAAGCCAGCAGAAGCAGTGCCACTGTTGGTGTTATATATCATAATGAGGTTAATAAAGAGTTTATTATTAACAGCATTTTAAGGATAGAAAGTTTGTGAACATAATTTCTATGGCAGAATCAATGAAAACGAGTGTTTCACAAACACTAAATCAAGCTTTTACTTGTAGCAGAGTGAAAGTTTGTTTAAGACTTGATTTATGTTTGCAGAAGGAGATATATATATATATATATATATATAAAAATATATATATGTAAACTGGAGAAGACATTATTGTAAAAAACCCCAAAGTAGTAAAGTAAGCATTACACCTCTGAAAGAAGTAAAAATATTACTTTGGAACTTTCAAATATGCTTAAATTATAACACGTCCTATTATGAAAAAAAGCAAAATACAAACAGGAATTATAATCCAAAAAGAAAATAGAAGCACTCATCTTAGAAAGCATCAATGAATAATAAGAATCTGAATGTCTCTAATCAAAATCCATAAAGATTATGAAGTAACTTTTTACAGTTCAATATAAGTGCAGTTCAATTCATTTTAGAAGGAAATAGTTCCACTAGTAAAACATGGTTCTCGCACTGTGAATTACTTTAAAAAAAAAAGTGCAGCCAAATGTAATCACTAAACAATAACTGAAATGCTGAATTTAAATTTATATGTCTACACTCTCATTTAAACCTTCATTTATCCACTAATTTCACCCTGTACTCACGCTAATTCTGCTTGGAACATCTATGGGCTTCCTTCCTCCAAAAAAATGCAGATACCACTGAAATCCAAAGACTACTCCAAGTACTGCACATCTCTGTTTCTCTGCATCAACAGCACTGATACAAACAATGCTAACAATTAAAAAATGCCTCCATGTTCAAAGTTTAGAGTATTAAGTAGAAATACTCTACTCTAGATACTATGTAAAATTTATGAAGTGAGAATAGATACTGCTTTTCATATATGAAAATCAGTAACTATGTTCTAATTGTTTTTCACTTGCACACAAGTGATTTGCACACAAGTTGGACTGACAAATGTAAGTATATAGGAGAACAAGGAGGTCTCTGAATCTCCTAATTTCACATCTGCTAAGGAAGACATCTTGGTTTTCAGCTAGAATATTCTGTCTCATTAAGATACTAGTTGCTTATTGTAAGACACATACACACTATAAGCTGCTCAATTTGTGGGTTTTTTTAAAATGTTATACAATTTCCTTGTCATCTGATATCTCCTTGTTATTTCTACACCATATCATTAAGTCATAGAACTTTACTGTTTGTTCAGATGACTCATCTTTCCAATGTGATTCATCAAATTACGCAGCTTCTATGAAACCCTACGAGATTGCAATTGATGTCTTGTGAAGCTGTACACCTCCACTTCATTTTATTATCCTTCCCTACTTCTGTCTCCTTCATAGGCTACCTCCAGCTTGGTAGTCAAATTTCAGTGAAGGAAAAAGGTACAATCTTCAAAAGGACAAAACCAGTAATTAAGCCTTCAAACGAAGGACTTAAACTTGCATGTCAATCTTCATTGTTATGTCAAGGGGCATTGTGAACACAGCATTCTCTAACTTCAAAAGGGTTTGCATGATTAACCTACAATTATTTTGTTGCAAACTGAATTAATAATACCAGACAATTTGTATGAAAGCAAGAGCAGATCAACTATGCCATACTCCTGGAAGGCAATACGTCAGAAGAACAAGACCAACACCTTCCTGCTCAAGTACTGTTCTTCCTGGTGCGATGTTACTACAATATAAAAGTGAGGAAACTTCACTTTAGAGAGAGAGAGAGAGAGAGAGTTTTTGTACCATTGCTTTTTCTTATGGAGTAAACTGTAAGACCTAATATTAAACATTCCCTCATATGACTGTTTTCCTGTGCAGCTTTTAAGTTCTCTAAGTGCAATTGCTTTAGAGGAATACCACATTCCATTCTTTCAGACCAGAATCCTAAAACTCTACAAACCACTTTTTGACAACAGAACTGCTTTTAACCACAGGCAAAAAAAAGTGATAAAACCAGAAAGAATTCTGTATTTCTCATTATTTTTTAGAAGTAGGTTAATTTCTAAGGTCATGTTCAGACACTGCCCTGAAGTACATGTGCTGTATCTACTTGCTCTGCTTGTCATTACAGTGAGCACCAGCTGCTGCAAAGCAATTCATCCATAAAGGAGATGCCATGTTTATTGCAAAGCTAATATCCTAACATAAACATTTAAATGTTTAAATGAAAATATTTAAAAGATACATTGTCATACTACTTTCACAAAACAGAAGCAACAGTGAAAGATCCAAATAAGCAAGGACAGCAGGAACAAATACAAAGCATTACTGTGACACTGGAAATTCTTCCACTGGCTCAAAAATTATACTTGGCAAGATAACCAATGGAGAAAGAAAAAAAAAAAGAATGGGAATGCCTGAACTCAGAGCAGTGCCTCTATTCAATTAATAGGAAATATTCTTCCTCCTCCTCAAAATTATTTCACTTGTACAAGAAAAGTATCAGTTAAAACCAATGCTGAAATTTCAATTATAGCACTTTGAAGTGAAATTATATTCTGTTCCTGGAGGTTCCATTTTTGTAATCATTTCCAGGCAGGCAGTCCCTTGGAACCAGTAAGGCTCTCTGGGGATGCCAGGTTTCACCTGCAAACACAGCATTACAGAGTGGGATTAAGTGATATATGATTCTACCTCACTATTTTAATCTCTCAAAGTTATTTTAGTAAACTTACTTTAATTAAAAATTAGCCAATGTAATCAAATCTAAGTTCAATGTTTGAACAATTAAAGGACCATATTTGAAAACCAATTAACAGAAACTCCTGAGGGTTGCTTCAATGCAAGAATGTGACTAGCTAATAAAAACATGACCCCCAAAGCAAAATCTCTGAAGCCTTTTTCAAGACTTTTTTGACATGGCAGTCTGCATTTCTTTCCATTTATATCAGCTGCCTTAAAATTTGGGTTTACCTGAAGATTTTATGCAACTCGATGCTTACCATTTACCAGAGTGAAGAGAAACCTTTGTTGAGTCAGAGCCTCTCTCTCTGTTCTGTCCTGCAGAGTTACCATTGGTAACATGTTCTCTGTCTTATTCACTAATCCATCTTGGTTACATGAAGATTTCTCCAGCTGCCAATGCATGGAGTGAAAGAAGTGCTGTGTGCTTTGGCAGGAGGCCTGGTGCTGCAGAACCACCAGCCAGAGTTTTCTCATCTCTCTTACAGAGATGGCAGCACTGAACTGAGCACTCTGGAGGAGTCCAGGAACTTCTTCAGCTGCTCATGGCTTTGCAACAAATCTGCACTCTTGCACAGGTCTTCACTCCTCCTCCTCTTTGTCTCTTGCACCTACTTCTGCTCATGATAGCAGTAGAATTTGATGGCACTGTGATATCCTTGTGTGTGTAACAATCATGTTACCAGTAAGACAATCAATAATCTACCTACTCTCCATTCACTTGTATGTTATAATTAAAAAAAATATTTTTAAACTAAACCATAGGCAGTCAAGTTTTTTTCCCAAAATCGGACAAATGTTTTGAGTAGTTACCAAGAATGCAATACAAAAATGGAGCAGAAAAAGGGTAATCTCAAGAAATTTCAAAAAAAGAAAACCCAACCAAAACCAACTAACCAACCAAACCAAAACAAAAAACCCTGAAAAAAACCACCACCAAAAAACCAAAACCCAAATCAACAAATTAGATCAATTCAAGCGAACATTACCAAAAAGGACTCTTCAGGAGACTCTCCATAACTCTTTCAGGTCACAGGTTCACCAGCAGACAAACCTAGCAATCCTTCTTTTACACATTTAGAGATTAAAATACTTCACATTATTCAACATCCATGAAGCATCAATCTTCTGTGAATTTACTTGTCATGAAGCTAGAGAATGTATGAGATCCCAACACGTTCCTGATACTGATCTAAATAATTCTAACTGCATACACAGGCAGACAGACTGCATAAGTAGATAAACTGCTTAAAATGTTAACATATTTTATCATTTTTAAACTCATCAGGAATTCAGCATACTACTTCATACACAAAGGCTCCAACTACAAAGACCCACAATGACTTAATCAGTGCTACCAAGTTATTAAGAGCAACTAATCAAGCCAAATCAGGCAAGTTTGAAGATGATGAATATTTATAAGGTTTTGTTATGTAGTTTATTTTGAAGAAATTCTAAACTCACGCTACAATTAAAGCATTTTCAGAACCTCAGTCTGCAGCTTTTTGCCAAGTCTATAATTGATTCAGAAAATTCCCTCCTAATGATGGTGGCCAGGGCAGACACTTGCCTTGCTCTGGTTCTCAAAAGAATCCAGCTTCTACAACTTCTGGATCACAGCAGTAAAACTTGGTCTGCCACAGGCTTCACTGCCAACGTGACAGCAGAAACACTGGTGTGCAACACTGGTGTACAGGAATTACCAGTAGCATTAATGAGACAATACCACGTGTGAACTTGGCAAAAACAAGGGCCTGGTGGCTTCACATGTAAGATCAGGCAATTGGCCTGAGAAGTAAAATGATGTGTGCTTTCAACAGTCTTGTGTTAGTCAAACAAGATGGGATATACAATAAAGACACCATAAAGCTGATTTATTGCCCTAAATCTATGTTCCTTAAGTTGACCACTCCAGTTTCCAAAGCACTGGGTAAAAAAATCAAACAAAAAGGCAGGATTTTATACAATCTGATTTTACACACAGCAATAAAGGATAACAAGTTTTTTTTAAAATCTCTATATCACTTGAGCTTACTTTCCCTACCTCCTCAAAAATTGCCCCAAACAATTCATCCAAACACAACCTCCAAGGTAAACAAGCTTTAACCATGTTCACCAGAAATAAAACAATTAAAATTAGTCTTTTCCCAGCAATTCTTCACTTCGATTTTTTACAAGATTGCTGAAAACTAGGGAAATTCCAAAAAGGTTTTGAAGCCTTTGATTATTTGAAAGATTTGAGAATTTTTAAACTTAAGTAAAACTATCTGGTTTCAATTTTTAGACGTCATCATAACATAGGATCTTCAGAATTTTCACAAATGTGGATTTTACAATTATTTTCATCAGTCTCAAACTGAGTGTTAAGAACAAGACTGACCAGACTAATTTCTGTGCTACGTGACCAGCTGCTTGAAAATGTATTTTACACATTTGCTTCAGAAATGTACTCATTAATTCAGTTAATTGTTTTATGCCTTGTATACTTGCAAACCAGCGGGTTCTGAGTCTCTTCCTCCTTCCCTGACATTTTTCCTTCATCACTCTACAGTTGCAGGGTTTAGTCCACAACCCCAGTACAGTGGTGGTGTCTGGTGCATGACCCTGCACACACAGTGGGAAACATCAAACTGGATGCTATAGGAAAGACCTCTGTGCTTTATTCCAGCAGTATCTTAATGTGTATTTCATAGATTTTATCTACAAGTAGCACATCAGATTGCCCAAAACTCTTTGTAAAGCCAACTCATTTAATACTTTATGCTACCATCTGTCTTATACCCTCAAAAAGAAAAACTTGTGAGATCTGAATTAAAAAAAAACCAAGATGAGACTAAAACTTGTGCATAACACCAAGTAATACATAGAAAGATGAGAGAACTGGCAAGAAAATCTGATCTATCAACAAAAACAGAGAGCACTTCAGAATTCTGAATCATTAAAAGCACTGTAATCCCACATTAAAAGCAATTGCTTATCTGACACTAGAGCTCTGACATAACCAACAAACCCATAACAACGAGCAGTTTACAGGAGTCAGGGGTGTGTTCAACAAAGGAAGTCCTGGCTGTTCACCTATTTGCTGGTTCAGTTTTTACAATTTTGGACAATTCAATTCTAGTTCTACTGCTAACCCTGTAAGTAAACTCTCAACTCTACAGCATTTTTTCCATCTCAGTTGTTCAGGCAATGTGTAACTCACTCTAAAAACAAGTTGCAAAAGGTCAGACCTTAACAGAAAGCAACTTTCAAACAAGCTCCATCAAAAATCACCTTATTACATATACACAGTGCTATCTCATAAGCATATTTTATCAACTTAGGGACATCACAAAAACTGAAAACAAAGATGTACATTGACAGACCCTGCACATGCAAATACAAAACCAGATGCAAAACCAACTAAAGCAATTTCTCTAGATTTTTATTACAAACTTTATGATTTCTATCTTGTTAAAAGATCAATATACCAAAATTATTATAAAAGCATCTAATACAATAGAATTAATATATTAAAAAATATCAACTTAATATGCGATCTCTCAAATGGTCTGACAGTATTTTCAGTAAATCATTTCTACAGTAACCTGCAGTGAACCCTAGCTAGGGGCCTGATACCTTCCAGTTCAATGAAACACTGGAGGTACTAAACAACTTGTCCCTTCCCTCTTTCTTCTGGATCTAACAGGGTAGGGGAATCCTTCTGTATTCATGTGCAAAGTAAGTTATATGCTTGACAGTTTGATCAATTCCCGAAGGTACCATTTCATCCATGGGATTAACACACAGCTTTACACCGACTGAAGACAGAAAGGAAAATGGGAGCAAAAAAGCATGCAAACACGGATACATGAATCCTTCACCTCTTTCCAACTAGAACAGATCACTTCAATGCCATACATGAGACAAAAAGCAGATAAGAAGTTCTAACTGTGAAATTATCTTGCTGCTTGACATGCAGATGAAGGTTAAAAATTTTATGAAAAGTTAAAGCTGAAAAAAGGTGAAAACATGAACAAAATACAGAAATGGAAACAGAACATGTAATTGAAAAAAAAATTCTTAATTTCCACATCTTAAAAAAAAAAATCACATGAAAGCACTATGCCTGCTCTCTTTTCATTATCATTTATGTAAATCCTAATTCACAATTAAAATTAAACAGATGATTAAATCATGCTTGTAGGCAGCATGAAAACATAACAGGCCTACTCACATATATAAAGTTAAGTCCAAATACTGCATATATTCACACGCTTCAAGAGGAGTAATCTAGAAGGAGAAACTACAGCCTGAGAAAAATCATTGGCTCCGAATATGCACTGTGGATTACCTTTACAATTCTGAAGCATAAATAGCAATAATGAACAATAACGGTGCATCCGAATTTTGACACGCAAGCACTGACAGTATGAGTCATCATAACTCACTTTTTTCCCCGGAAAGATGCTACTTTTGACGTAGCATCTTACTTGTGCAGTGTTAAAAATAGATTTGGCTACTAAGGTACAGGATTAATGAAAGAAAGAAAACAACTTGGCCTTTGTCCCCTTATTCAGCTCTCTTCCTGGAAAAACTTTGCCGAGTTGTTACGCAGATTAATTTGCCCCTAAAAGCGAGCCATGCCAAGCCTCCCGCCCGCTCCTCCCTCGATCGAGGTTACTTCTCTCTCCCCACCGGAGCTGGTAACACTGGTAACACACACACAAAACAAGCCCCGCACAATGCCAGTGCCAGACGGCTCGTCACAAACTGAAGAGGCCGCTCCCAGCAACTTTGGGCGACTGATAACAGTTTCTTCTTAAAGAATTTAAACTTACTTTTTTTTCCTCTTCCACAATTAAGGCTTAGGAAGTCGTGGCAAGTAACATGAAAATTCATGGGTTTTTTTTCCAAGAAGGAAGGGAACAATAAAGCAAGCCCCCGGGCAAGGAAAGCCGCACGGCTGATGACCAAGCTTGCTTTGTCAAGGGAGGTGCAGCTGCAGACACCGGAGCACGTCAGCCCGAGCGGCAGGGCAGGACTCCGGGCAGGACACGGCAGGACACAGGGCAGGACTCCGGCCTCCCGGCACACCCGGCCCCGCCGCCCCCAGCTCGGCTTCCCGCGAAGGCTCCGCCGCCAGTCCCCCTCCGCGGCCCGAGCCCCCTCGGCTCCCCGCCCGCCGCACAAGGTGCCCCCGCCCCACTGCCGCCTCTTACACAACCCTGCGGGGGCTCTGCGGCCTCCCGGCCCCGGGTCACACGGCGCCGGGTCCCGCGGCCCTGCCCCGGCCCTGCCCCGGCCCCGCCGCACTCGCACCGTACCCGAAAGAGCTGCGCCGCCGGCCCGGAGGGAAGAAGCGCGGGGCCGGGGCGGCCCAGGGGCGCGCCCAGCCCGGCAGAGCCCGGCTCAGCACAGGGCACAGCCGCTGCCGCATAGCCCTGGCGGCCCCGCCGCCAGCACCGGCCTTGCCCCGCCGCCCGGCCCGGCTCCGGTCGCTCAGCACGCGCCGCTCCCCGGCGCCATGTTCTCCGCCCGCCTCCCCCCGCCGCCCGGCCAATCCCTCCCGGCGCCCGCGGGGTCCCGTCCGCCCTCCGCGCCCGGGCCTGGCGGGACCCGTACCTGGGGGTACCTGGGAGTGCTGGAGCTGCCTCTGCCGCCGGGAGGGCCGGGGCTGCGGCTGGGGAGGGGGCCGGGGGCCTCTGGGAGGTAGGCGGAGGCGGCGGAGGGGGTGGGTGGCTGGGCGGGGAGCCGGGGCGACACTCGGCGCGGCGGGGGGGCCGCGCCCGGCGGAGGCGGACGGGGCTGCGGCGGGAAGGGCAGCGGGGCGGCCTCGGGCTGCGCCCGCCGAGGGAGCGGCCCGCCCGCGTCCCGGTGTCCGCGCTCCGCGTCCCTGCCGGCGAAAGCCAAGACAAAAGGTAATTAGACGCCTCGTAATTTGAGCACAGTGGGTGCAGCGCCGTCCTGAGCGGCAGAGATTTCGGGTGTCAAAATCCTCCCTCCCCCGGGGACAGTGCACCCTGCGGCAGCGCTCTCTCCTCGGGAGCTCCGCTGCAGCCCGCTGGCCGCCGCTCACCTGCAGCCGAGCTCTGCGGCCCCGCCGCGCCGGGCACTGCATTCGCTTCGCAGGCTGGGTGTAGAGGTGTAAATGCTGGGTAAAATCGGTTGCCATATATTTGATTTTCTGGGGAGATTTCTGGGGGAAAGTCGTGGATGGGTCTGGTTGCTTTAATTCCTTTCTAGGAAAAAAACCCCACAAAACCAACACAAAAAAAGAAAAAAAGAAAACTAAAAAATCCCCACAAAAACCAAACCAAAAAAACCCCACCGCCCCCCAAACCCCACTGTTTGAAGTTCCGGTAATGTGTTTTCTTCAGGTGTATCTATTTTACTATGTCTCATTTTTCAAAGCTAAGGGGGAAAAAAAAAAGGTGGTATCTTATAGAAGGAAATTCACAGAACCCTCCCATCATAAAAGGTAGAAAGATGGGCCAGATGAGTTACCTAAGGTTATTTCTGCACCCAAAGATGGAATTGAAGATGTAGCAGAAGTAGCTTTAAATTAGTCAGCTTTCGTGAAATTTCCTGTTAAGAAGTGGCAGCATACTACTTCATGTGGTCAAAAGGGAATCAACATAATCTGTCAGGGAATGCTGGTTTCCAGTGAGGTCTGTGCTGCTATAGAGACGCTCTTACCCATACCTGAGCCACCCAGTTAAAACATTTGTGTCTACATCAAGTACACCCACGCTTTTGGCCTTCGTTTAGACACAGAACTGTCTCTCAAGTTAACTCATCCTGGTTGGAGCAAGGCATTTGTTAGTTTTCACCTAAATCAACTGGTTGGATTTAGAACTGTGTGGGTGCCTAATTTTAACACAGTATGTTAACTACTGCAAAAATGTCCTCATGGGATTCTAGTTGGAGGCACTCTGGTTTTTTTCCAGTTCCTAGTGTATATAAAAGTGAAGACCAAGCCGGACAAAAAGAGGACAGGATAAATGGTGAGCTCTTAATTCTTATTTCCACCCTATTGCCTTTGCCAGTGCATCAGAAAGGCTCATCCCCTGGTGTCTGACAGAAGGCACACTGCTGGGTGAGTACCTCTTCATGATCTGTCTCCTCCCTTTCTGAAGCAACTGGGGGATTAAGAGGTTGTGAATTGCAGTCATTCTGTTAAATTGGATGTATGGTAGAAATGCTTATGCCTTTATTGTTAACAGATGCTATAGCCATGCTATATCATTTACCATGTAGGGGTGAAAACTATAGAAGTATACAGTTTCAGGCAATTTATTCTTTTTTCAGGTCCTGACAGAGAGTTCGCTAACCTCATGTAGCCAAATGTATATGTTTAGCTAATGCTGACCAGGTTTATATTTAGCTGCTCTGATAAATCCTGCCTTTTCCTATAAGTCTTGCCTAGTATACGCAGGGGCAATCCTGGGAAAGCAACATAGACTGCACCTGCAAAACTGTGGTGGTCTGCTAATAGCTGGATCTAAAACAAGCGTTTCTGTAGTTGTGGTGATGAAAGGTTGCACCTCCTCTTGCACCTAACATAAGTATTGCAGCAAAGGTCTGCAATGGAGGTCACGCCTATTTTATCCACTGTAAGCTTCTTTAGTGGCTGTTCCATGGCACTGGTGTGTCGTGGTTTAACCCAGCTGGCAGCTAAGCACCATGCAGCTGCTTGCTCACCTCCCTCCCCTCCAAACCCGGTGGAATGGGGAGGAGAATCAAAAGTAAGACTTGTAGCTTAAGAACAGTCTAATATAATAATAATGATAATAAAAAGACAAGTGACACACAATACAATTACTCATCACCTGCTGACCAATGCCAGAACCTACCCACAAACCCCAATCGGCCCCTTCTGGGTAGCTCCCTCAATTTATATACTGGGCATGATTTTCTATGGTGTGGAATATCCCTTTGGCCAGTTCAGATCACCTGTCCTGCCTATGCTCCTTCACAGCTTTTTGTGCACCTCCTCACTGGCAGAGCATGAGACACAAGGAAGTCCTTGGTTTAGGATAAACATGACTTAGCAACAATGAAGACGTGAGTGTGTTATCCACATTATTCTCATACTGAATCCTAAAGACGGCACTGCGCCAGCTACTGAGAAGAAATTAACTCTATTCCAGCCAAAACAGGACATGTTGATGTTTATTCAGAGCAGGTTGGGTTCTTATAATCTGACCTCTCTCTATTTCAATTTATACTAGCCAAAATTACAATCATTCACTGTTTTGGATATCCTTTCCATGTTTTAAAGATATTTTTAATAGGACACCATCAGCAAAAGTTAAAAGGACTTGCAGTAAAATTGGCTTCTCAGTCTAGTCCAGCAACTAAGATTTCTTCCCATGAAATTTTAATTGCTCATAGACAGTTGGTGCTTTCTGCCTTCTTCATCTGCCCCAGTGGAAAAACAGGTGTTATCTAAAAGACCAAATGAGCCTAAATATAATTTAGAGTAAGTGTGGAAATTATTCAAATATTCCCATGAAGAAGCCTTACAAAGTAGCAGTGTGGAGATCCCTCTTCAGGATATGTGACATAAATGTACAGAGAAATTGATCTTCAAAGTAGGCAGGTTACAAATAATTTAAAATAAAACTAGTGTTTTATACTTGTCTTGAAAGCTAAGAGACAGCAAGTGTAGAACTCTTAAGTACAGTCTTGATAGGCTTCTAACGGAAGCGTGTTTTTGCTACCTAGATAAAATTCTGGACTAAATTCAAATTGTAATTGTATATAATAGGGCTTTGTAGCAAACTGGCCTCGAGCTCAAAAAAAGCATAGCTTATGATTGTTATTTCCACTCCAAAATAAATAGCAGCAATTTCATGATGTGGCATATATAAAAAAACCTGTCTATTGACTGCTCTCAGTAGAAAAATACTGAATGAATAAAATTTTAAGATATTAAAGGTAATGAGGCCAAGGAGACATTTCCTGTTGACTTCAGTCAGTCCTATCAAGTCTGTATGTTTCCAGTTTTCCCATTCATTGTTTCTTTTCTTGTTATGTAAAGGATGTCTTCCAGCTGCACACCTTAACTGAAAATAGGTAAGCCTATGGAAAATGACTGGCTTTACTCTGAGTTAATCACACAAGTGCATACATCCCCCTACGTGTGGTGTTAATTTTTTATTATGGCAACTATAAAAAGATGTAAAGGTGCTACCGTCTGTGTTGGACAGTGATCTGGCACACATGCCTAAAAAAAAAATCTTTCATTCTGTGTATTTTCCGTAATTAGTTGAAACAAGTTCTGGTTTTAATCATGTTGTATATGCATTGAGTCCTTAATTTTAACAATAGTTACTTTATTGCATTGTATTTTTTGTTTTTAACAGTGACATAATTATCCTGTTACTTTGACTGAAGGAAGACCCTGTCCTCAGCTGAAAACATACCAGTACAGTGTGTGTAAGTCCTTATTGTTTAACTTTCTGTATGTGAACAATACAAAGTTTAGAATATTACTGGTCAACTGGACAGGCTATTCAAAGACTAGAAATTGCTTTATGCTTATCTAAGGTGCAGGTCGATTCCCCTTTAACATGAATATGCAATTAATCAGCAAATTTTTGCAATGTCACTTATAGTATTGAACAATATTACACTCTCCACATGTTCAATACAGTTGATACACTGTGTAGCATGTTGGTAGTCAAAATAGGTGTTACTAAGCCTTAAAGAAGTCTCACCCAGCATTATAATTTGTATTAATTATATCTCTCCATTATTATACCTTATATAACCTTTCTTCATTCTTAGCTAATCATGTTTTGTGTTAACAGTTTTACTATTTGTCAGGCCTCTGTACCTATAATTACCCAGATGTTCTGATACAAATCCTAGGAAAACAATGTTTGTTTTGTCTATAAATATCACCATAATTCAATGCCTTTTTCTTGGCAAGCTATACTTAAAAATTGTCCTTTTTGATCCATATGTGGAGATTAGTAATTTCTACTGAAGTTGTTACATTGGCTGTTGTGTGTATTATTATATAATTTAATTTTCTGTAATGTTTTTGTCTCTCTTAAAAAAAAAAATTATCACAGGTGATGTACATGCCTTGTTAAAGGTCATTCTCCCAACCACTATTGAGACTAGCCTAAATATTCTTGCATTTTTTCTTATTGCTTGTGAAATGCTAGCTCCCTGTTATTCAGTTTATGTTTATAGTATATTAGTATCTTTAGGTTCAACCTTGTCTAAGAAAATGTACAACCTATACTATAAATTATCTTTGTAAAACAGACCTACAGCTATTAAACTGTATGCCTTTTTTAAGCTAACTTGATTACCAGAAATACATGTTTTTCACTTACCACAACTATAGCAAAGGTAGCTATGGACCAAGTTTAACTCCCAATAATTGAATAGATTCTTCTTGTTTAAATACATGTTTAAATGATGTCTTCTGTGTTTGCGAGAGACACGTTATATTTTGAGGAAAAATCTGACTTTTGTACCAGAAGAGAACAAAAAAGCAGAAGTTGGAAGAAAATATTTCCTGAGTTCCAGTGCTACATTCTTTTGTATGATCCATTTGAAGGAGTATAGAGCAAAAGGTAAAGATTCAGATTATTTGCATACCTGCATTTGAATTTTCAGTCTAGCAGTATCTACTACACAATTGTCTGTACGAATAATTTTTGCTCTTAGCATAGATGGAATACAAAAAGACAAGTAAGAGTAAAGGTGGTCTCACTATGTTTGCCATGGACATTGTTCTTATATTTATTTTCCCACTTGATTAAATCCGTACTTAGCTGAAGCAAAATGTATTATTGTGATTTTTAGTGTTTCATTAGAGGGGAAAAAAGTAGCAAGTCTTTGTAACATGAACCCACCAAACTCATTTTAGTTTGAAAGTTAAGCTCCAAGACTGTTAGAAAATACGAGTTCCTTAGTTGCCTATTGTGGTTTAACCCCAGCCAGCAGCCAAGCCCCACACAGCCACTCGCTCACTCCCCCACCTGTGGGATAGGGAGGAGAATCAGAAGGGCAAAAGCTGGAAAACTCATGAGTTGAGATAAAGACAGTTTAATAGGGAAAGCAAAAGCTGCACACACAAGCAAAGCAAGGAATTAATTTACCACTTCCAGTGGGGAGACAGGTGTTCAACCATCTCCAGAAAAGCAGGGCCACATCATGTGTTCAGCACAAATCCAAAACACAGCCCCATACCAGTCGCTGTGAAGAAAACTAACTCTACCCCAACCAAAACCAGCACATCTATGCATATAAATTTTGTTTTGTTACAAGCTGTTCCTACAGAATCATTGCCTTATTTCTAGGTTTGAGGTCAAAAGGCTAAAAATTGATGCTGAAGGGCAGTAATTCATCTGGCAGTTACTAAGTTCGAAATGTCTGTCCTTGCAAAGTAGTTGTCTTGTAATATATACTACACATACTTTCAAATTGTATTGCTTTCAGTGGCATGCAAGCAGTAAAATCTTATATGGGGCAAACAAAATACTTGCCCAGAAAGGCTTGAAATGAAAATTTTTATTAATACTTATAAAGTTTTCATAGCTCTTGTCCTGTTGCATCATCAGCCTACATTCAGAATGGCAGACAAAATTTCTTGAATGTTAATGTTTTCTGATCAATTTCTGCTCGCAGCAGAATAGGAATCCAATGCTTCATGTCCTTTTCTGTGAAAGTAATGTATTTCTCAGATCCTGTTCTTTGTGCCTAGTATAAGATTGATTGGCTCTGACATTGTTCTAACTCTTCAGATTAATGGTAGAGGAGCATAATGTAATGCTGCTTCATGTCACTGTCAGAAAAATTACTGCAAGCCTTAAGGGTTAGGATTTGTTTGTTATTAATTTTAAGGATTCATGGAGGAGGGAGATGTAAATTTCAAAGCAGACAACTTAGGGGAAAAAAAAAGAGTGTGGACACTTGCAAAATTATAGATGGGTAGTCTGAATTTCAGGAACTGGGAAGGCCCTAGAAGAACAGCAAAACACTGTAGCACCATAGGCCATAACAGGTCGATGACAGTGTGACAGTCTGTAGGAGCCAGTACAGATTTGTTGGAAAAAAAGTGTGTCAGACCAGTTGAATCTTCTATAACATCTGCTTCTTCCTCTCTACCTGGAAGACCTGTTATCCTGCCATAGATCTCCACCTAGCAAAGCTTTTAATAGTGCCTCTCAGAGGAAGCTGTCACGGGGAAGCCAGGGTGATATAAATCAAACTGCTAGTGAGAGGGTGTAATTTTGTACTTGGCAAGTGGCTCAGATGATCTAGTTTCAAAGCAAAAGGATGGATGTGATGCACCCGTGATGCTTTGTCCTGAGCCCTTACTTACTTTCATTGTGATATAAGACTTTCACAGGAATCGATCAGGCAACACCCACCTGTAAATATATAGAAAATTAGGTGTAGAATTCAGTGATGTTGATGAGTTGTGCTGGAGACCAGCCTGAGTTGAAGTGTGCACAAGGAACAGAGGGTCCAGAGAGGAGCTCAGGAGGCATGGCCCAGCTGGGGCTGGGGTCTGCCCAGCTGTGGTTCTGCTGCAGACACGTGGCAACCTGAACTGGGGCACCACCGACCGAGGACACAGCAGGTGCCCTGCTGGGAACAGTGAACGCTGTGCTCCACCATGTAAATTAGAAATATGATTAATTTTTTTAAACTGGTAAAGTAATGCTTCCACTCCACAGGGCATTTTTTAGGCATGCTTCTCCAATTTTGTCGTGATGTTTGAAGAAATTGTGGGCTAACAGGAGAGCTAATGGGGACAGAAGAATGACTGGAGGGCTTGACCTGCGAGGGAGGGTTACGTCGATGATGTGACTGTTGAAGACTGATGTGCGCGGCGAGGAGTTGGGCTGCCCTCAGACCCGGGGCTGTCAGCGGCAGCTGCAGAGGAGGCCCCTGGCGGTAGCTCGGAGGAGGAGGTGCGGGCGGGGCGGAGCGCGGTGTCGCTGCCCTGGCGGGCGGGGCCGCCATTTGAAATGCCGTCCCGTGGTGCCCCGCGGCCGCCGCTGATTGGCCGGGCCGGGCGCCGCGCGGTTCGAAGTGGCGGTCGCGCGCGCGACACGTCCCGCTCCGGCAGCGCCTCGGCTCCCGCTCCCGGCATGGCTTCCTTCGGCTCCCAGGGCGGCGGCGGCACCACCAAGAAGGAGGAGAAGGGCAAGAACATCCAGGTGGTGGTGCGGTGCAGGTGAGTGCGGCGGGTCCCTTGGGCGAGCGTTGGGGGCCGCCACGGGGAGGACCTTGGTCGGTCCCTGCGGGACTCGGGCCCGGGGCGTTCTTGGCGCTGCGCCGGGTCCGCCGCGGGACGGAGGCGGCTGTGGCTGTGCCGAGCCGGTGTGCCCGACTGTGGGTCTCTGTCTGCCCGGCGGTACCGCCGAGCCCCCCCGGGCGTTGGTGAGCGCGGGAGGCGGCCCCGTGTGCCCGCGAGCGATCGGCACTTCCGCGCGGTAACGCTGCTGCGAGCGAGCTCGTACGGCTTGAAAAGGCGAAAAGGTGCAGTTTCCGAATTTGATTCGTTGCACACCCGGTGTAAAGCTGCGTGGGAAGCTTAAGGAGAGCTAGATGAGAGTTAGTTAGTAGGACTGCTGTTCAAGGCGCACGAAAACCCAAGCTGAATTTTTACCTTCCGTAGGAAGCCACTACGCTTTAACAGCTAATGGAATTGTTGCTACTCCACTTCCTTATATCTCTAATATCATTTCATTGGTGCGGACTCTCCAGTCGAAAAAACTATGGGATGGGGGTCAAATAATAATGGCCAATTATCTTTTTGATTATATAAATTTATTTCTTGTATGAAGTGATACATTTCACATACCATAAAATTAAGTTCTCATTGTAATTTCGAGGTGACTAAGGAATTGCTCACTGATAGTAGATCTTAAATAATCTTATAGCATTGCTTGTTAAAGCTGTAATACTGGTAATGTGTTAAGAATAGGGTTTGAAATACCATTAGAAGTTGGGGTGTTTTTTTGAGCAAATGCCTTTTACAATCACGTTCTCAAGCTTGTGAGTTCTACTTTTACAGATGCACAATGAAAATAGAAATTTAAAGCAGTTTTGCCTTATTTTTGCAATACGACTAAAACGGTTCTGTAACAAATATTAGATTGGTGAAAGTGTTGATGTGAGTCAAGGCTATTGCAAAAGAATAAATTTATTGAAGCAATTGAGTTTGAAACAGTCAAGAGCAATAATTTTCTTTTTCATCTGGTTAGTCTCTGTTGTTCTGGAATAGCCTCACTATCAGTGTATTTTTATTTTATATGACAGTAGCATCAGGGCTGTCCATGATGTAGTGTTCTGCTTTTGTTGCAACTCATAGTCTTAACTCCTATGTCAAGATTTAGTCTCTAACCCCTACAAACTTTCTTGCCCACCCTTGCTCTTGCCCCTTGTAGAGCTTTTCTTTTTTTAATAGCTTCAGTGCCCTTGAGCTAGTAAGTGTTTTTTCTTCGTTTTTCTTCTTCAAGTCAGGTTCTTCTTATCTTATAGATATGTAGGTAGATGCATTTGTGTTTGTTTGTATCCTAATTTGCTCCCAAAAACTGATCTTTCTGAGCATATCAAAAACCTTTTCAAGCAACACGTTTACTGTGCTTTGGTAAAACATGAATTTGGAAACTTAAAATGCATGCATTAGCATTGTTAATATGTGTGATAGTCCTTTGTACCGAAAGGAATGAACGTGTGATCAAACATCACCCTGGCATACCAGGCTGCTGCTTGTCTAGTGGGATGGTGGCAATGTGGATGTGTGCTTCAACTTCGCTAAATTGTTCCTCATATCACAGTTGTGGGCTATCCTACGTCCTGCATTGTACTGGTTCACTCTTATACTGTTAAATAGCAGAATATATTCATTATTCAGCCTTCTATTATTTTAAAAGTCCCAAAACTGAAGCTGTAACTTGCTCCTTCAAGGAAAATGGTGTGCATCGGGTTTGAATTAACTTAGTGGTGAAACAAAATGCACACCATAAAGTTCCAAAAATTTTATTACATCTCTATTAAACCTTTTTACTGTGATTGAGTTTTAATTAATGGAGACTTTTCCCCCCAAAATCTGTTTTATCTGTTTTTAATTAAATTCTGTTCAAATGCATCAGCATTATAAATGTTCTGTTTTCTGTTCCGCAATTAGTAGGGTCTGTTGGTATTTCTGGTGCTTCAGAGTCTCATGTCATTGGCATGAGATGTAGGCATCATTGCTTGTGTAAATGAAAAATAAAAAAGGAAATTTTTAAAGTTAGTTTGATTCACTATTGCACTAACTTGCATGTATAAGTGTTTTCCTTTTTTGAATGCTCTTATTTATACGACTGTTTGGGATGTTAAATCTTCTACCCCCTTGCAGTTGAACAACATATTCTAATGCATCTTAGCTAGATGTGCATCTAAATGACCTTAAAAATGGTTATAGGCCTGTTAAAAATACATACATAACAAACAAAGTGCTATAGACACCTGATTTGTTCCACAGCGATAGAAGGCAGGGTCTTTAAACTGCCAAAATGTGGCTTTTTTTCCTTAAACAATTATTAAACAAACTAAGTTAACTATGTTCCTTTTACCCAGTTATTCTATTCTAGATCCTTAAACTGAGTGATGTTTCTGCTTCTTCAGTTTGTGTTCTTGTTAGCAATGATATCAATCCGATTTTCTTAACTCCTGTCTTTTTAGGCCTTTTAATGCCTCAGAACTTAGAGCAAGCTCCCATCCTGTTGTAGACTGTGATCAAGCAAGAAAGGAAGTTAGTGTCCGCACTGGAGGAGTGACAGATAAGACATCAAAGAAGACCTACACATTTGATATGGTTGGTAACTGCTTGTCAAGTTGGGAACTTCTAGACATGAGCTAGTACATTTCTCTGATACGGTCTCATTACTGTACAGTGTGATGCTATACATTATTGTATGGATAAATGGGATGTGTTGTCTTTGTGTCAATAGGTTTTTGGACCTCAGGCTAAGCAGATTGATGTGTACCGGAGTGTTGTGTGTCCCATTTTGGATGAAGTTATTATGGGCTACAACTGTACGGTGTTTGCGTAAGTAAGCCAGTAATGATTATTAGGGAATTTTATTTGGATTTTAGTTTCTTGTTTACATTTTTATTTTTACTCTCACAGTTATGGCCAAACTGGTACTGGTAAGACCTTCACAATGGAAGGGGAGCGGTCACCCAATGAGGAATATACTTGGGAAGAGGTATATTTTCACTCCAGAGATTTCTCTTGTCTGCACTATAGTTCAAATTTGGAAACTGCAGAAAGCTAAAGAAAACTGAGAGCTGGTGTCCTTCAAATCCTGAAGCTGACTTTCCTTAACTGTTTGTAGATTAACAAGTGGTCTCATTTGTTCAAGTGAAAAGCAAAACTTTACATCTTTAATGTATTGCATACAACTCTTGGCAATTTTTATGTGGAAGATCATCTTTGTCCAAAGTATTCTTGCTTATATCCAATCAGGCTGTTTAGCTGAAACTCCACCCTGTAACCCCAAGTGCATTTATAAATTAAATACTTCTTTTTAATTTGTAGGATCCACTAGCAGGTATAATACCCCGTACATTGCATCAAATATTTGAAAAACTCACAGAGAATGGTACTGAATTTTCAGTGAAAGTCTCTCTTTTGGAGATCTATAATGAGGAGCTTTTTGATCTTCTGAATCCTACTCCTGATGCTGGAGAAAGACTGCAGATGTTTGATGACCCTCGAAACAGGGTTAGTGCTTGCAAAATTTGTGATCTTAAGGCTTTCAGGATTGTTGAGAGATGTATAATAAGCATGTATTACTTTCTGACAGCGGGGTGTAATTATTAAAGGCTTGGAAGAAGTAACTGTACACAACAAAAATCAAGTCTACCAAATCCTGGAAAGGGGTGCGGCAAAGAGAACAACTGCAGCTACTTACATGAACCAATATTCCAGGTACAATCTTCGTCATTTCAGACTTTGTATTTTGTTCTTTATTAAAGAGGATCTTATTGAAGAAGCAAAAGATGATTGAAGCTAGTCCAAACCTGGCATGATCTTGAGACTGTGTATCACAGTGCAGAGTGTCAAATGTGGGTTAGAAAGCCAGAGTTAAAACTTCCTCCTTATGGCATCCAGTGGGATGATTGTAATTGGTGTATGAAGGGATATCGTGGTTTAACCCCAGCCAGTAACCAAGCACCACACAGCTGCTTGCACCTGCAGGATGAGGGAGAGAATTGGAAGGGTCTGGAAAACTCATGGGTTGAAATAAAGACAGTTTAATAGGGAAGGCAAAAGCTGCACACACAAGCAAAGCAAGGTATTAATTCAGTGCTTCCCATGGGCAGGCAGGTGTTCAGCCATCTCCAGGAGAGCAGGGTCCCATCACGTGTGATGGTTACTTGGGAACACAAATGCCACCACTCCAGACCTCCACCCCCCCCTTTCTCCTTCTTACCCTCACTTTATACACTGAGCATGATGCCATATGGTCTGGAATATCCCTTTGGTCAGCTGAGGTCACCTGTCCTAGCTGCGTCTCCTTCCGATCTCCCGTGCACCCCCAGCCGCCTCACCAGCGTGGCAGCAGGAAAAGGCCTTGGCTCTGTGTAAGCCCTGTTTAGCAATAACAAACCCTCCATATGTTCAGCACAAATCAAAAGCACAGCCCCATACCAGCCGCTGTGAAGAAAATCACCTCTACCCCAGCCAAAACCAGTTCAAAGAGCACTATAAAGTCTGAATACTTCTTGTCTTAAAAATGGGCAAGACATTTCTTCCTGCGTGATTTTTAACATAAGCTTCTCCTCTTGTTTAGAGTTTGCATGCTTTGTTATTAATATATCCCTTGAAAATACGCATTGGCTATTTCAAACAGTAGACCTGGTATTCCACCTAAATCTAGCTCTGATAAAAGTATCACAACATTCTTAACTGGTCATCTAGAGTATTGAAATTTATTTCTCAAAGTTGCAAAGTTAACTTTTTCAAAGCCTTCTGTGACTATGAAAACAGAAGACATAAATCTGACAGATAAATCACTGAAATACATTGCATGTACTAGCGTGAGATAAATATTCTCTGCAGTATATACTGTACATTTCAAGAAGGCTGTAGTCCTTTTATGTTTGGAAGATGTTTAGTTGATATACCTGTATTGGAGAGGTGGGTTACCTTTGTTCTAGCTCTTACAGGTGATTGGGTGTTTTGACCAATCCCATTTACGAAATAAAAACCTGGTATAAGTGTATCAAATATCCTTTCCTTTCCTCACCAGCAGTAGAAAATGGTACATTAGGATTTGTTACAGAAGTTGAAATTTCAAAACGCTGATAAGATCTGCTTTTTACAGGTCAACACAAGACGCTCATTTCAAACCCTGGCTTCTGAAAACTTGCAAAACTAGATTGTGGAAGTTGGGGATAAGGTTGAGGAGAGGGGTTTGTATGGTAATAGAGGCTATTTCATATGATTGCAGGTCATAGTCAGAATCTAGTAGAGACATCTGGGTCGAAAGTAGCATTTTTTTTTTTTTAGTACTGCTTTCTCATTCTTCAACTGCAGATAGGGTATGTATATCACTGTAATGATCCTGTATTGCAAAAGTAAGCAATGCACCCTGCCCATATTTTATTTTAAATTAAAGGTATACTGAGCATATCTGTCTACTGGTGGAAGGGAACAGGTATTTTCTAACACAGATTAGAATACAGAACTAATTTTGTCTGAAATTACAGACAGTTTAGATAATTCATTCTGCCTGAACTGTTGTTTTATGTATAGTCTAACTGGTGTAAGTTGACATCTGTGGTTTTCTATGTATGTCAGCTTCCTATTGTAAAAACTTATTAAAGGAATAAACTCAGCCTAAAATCATCTTCACTGGGAGAGTGGTGAAACACTGGAACATGTTGCCCAGAGAAATTGTGGATGCCCCATCCCCAGAAGTGTTCAAGGCTGGGTTGGATGAGGCTTTGAGCAACCTGCTCTAGTGGAAGGTGCCCTTGCCCACGATAGGGGTGTTGGAGCTGGATGAAACCATTCAATGATTCTGTGATCCTAAACTGTATTACTATTTTGAATGAAAAATTAATTTAACTTCTAAAATTTTAATATTGGTTTCAGCTACTTGATTATTTTCTTAGCCTGAATAAAGAAAACTATGTTCCTGAAGATCACATTCTATGAAACTGTTATTACCATATTGACTAAACTGACTTGTAAATTTTTTTTTCATGAGATGCATGTGAGTTGAGAACACACACATGTAAACAAAACCAAAGCATTTCTCTTGGTTTTGCTTGAAATAAGATAAAATGTATCTAGATTGAGTGAGTCAAATGTCATGCGCTTGGTTCATCACTGGTTTTAAATACCATATTCCTACCTACATATACACACAAAAATATACTTGGTAAAATAACTATGTATTGAAAATGTGTAATTTGAAATTGATGGGCTAAATGTATTCCCTAAAAAGAGCACAGATACATAACTTGCAGCAGTGTCACGAAGCAGGTAGATAATTTGACTTCAATGGAACGTCTGAAACTGGTTTCTTTTGCAGCCGCTCCCACTCGGTGTTTTCAATTACCATCCATATGAAAGAAACAACAATAGATGGAGAAGAACTTGTTAAAATTGGAAAGCTAAACTTGGTAAGTATTTGAACTAAGTGGTGTTGATAGCATTCTGAAAGTCATGAACTAGAGTTTGAGTTTTTTTCTGACAAGGGGAAAAATGATTGTTTTCATAATGTGATATGAGCTATATTTGTCACTCTGAAGAATGTCGGTCCCATTTGTCATCCCGGTGTCTCTTGAACAACTCTTCTGCTGTTTTAGGTGTTCTGCAACACCTTGGGCCAAGCATTCTTCAGGGTGGTTTGAGATAGAAGCATAACCTTATTTTCAGGTTGATCTCGCAGGAAGTGAAAACATCGGTCGATCAGGGGCAGTTGACAAAAGAGCTCGTGAAGCTGGAAATATCAACCAGTCTCTCCTGACACTAGGAAGAGTTATTACTGCTCTGGTAGAAAGAACCCCACATATTCCATACAGGGAATCTAAACTCACAAGAATCCTTCAAGACTCTCTTGGAGGACGGACGAAAACATCAATAATTGCCACGGTTTCTCCTGCATCTATAAATCTTGAGGTAAATTTTAAGTCTGAAAATCTATTCCTAAAATAATTAATACATTTTGCTAGTGATAAAAAATATGAGTTAAATTCTTCAGCTTGATTTAGTCTCACATCTCTTTTTCCCAGGAAACATTGAGTACACTGGAATATGCCCACAGAGCAAAGAACATAATGAACAAGCCTGAAGTCAATCAGAAGCTAACAAGAAAAGCTCTTATTAAGGTACTAGACATACAGCTTAACAAATGAAGTTACAGGTTACGTTTGATTTTGTAGTCTTTGCTGTGCAGGAATTATGAGGGTGTGGAGAAGCTGTAACTTGTAACTAGTAGCAGTGCTTTTCTGAAGTGATTTGAATCATTGAACTGGTGCTTTTAAACTGGAGCTGCTCTACTGGTACAGGATTAGTGACTTTGCAGATACTGAAACTGTGGCCAAGACTGAAGTTGAAAAGAGAGGGTTATTGCTACTGCCTGTGGCTCTGTTTGTGGATTACGTGTTTACAAGTTATTGGAAAGCCACTAAACGACACTGTTTTTCTTTCTGGAGGAGTTGTATTAGCAGGGTCATTCCCCAGAAAGTCCATAAATTAAAGTGAACTTGTCAGTAAGTATGAGTGAAGAGCCAATGTAAAGTAGGTCTCTGCTACAAAGGAAGTTGTGCTTCCAATTGTGAGCTGCTAGATGCAACCAAGTATTATTCAAATGGAAGGTTCCAATGCTTTACCTATATCCAATAGTATGATTTTAAAGGGTACTGTACTTAGAATAGAATGAAGTGCTTTGCTCCCATGCTTATGCAAAACTTCTGTAGAGCACTACCTTTGTGAAGTATCTCTTAAGCTAAATATCAAAACAAAATAGAAATTTTCAGGTTTACATGGGATTGTTTCTTTATGCAGGAATACACTGAAGAGATTGAGCGTCTGAAGAGAGACCTTGTTGCTGCACGAGAGAAAAGTGGAGTCTATATTTCTCTTGAAAATTATGAGTATGTCTTCAAAATTTCTATAAAATGACTAGCAACAAATCTCAGATACTGGTACAGAAATACTTTCAGATCTATTTCACACCAGAAAGTTGAAGGAAAGTCAGGAAAATTTAACTGACTGGTCAACTTGTTCTTTAGAAATTAATTTTTATACAGGTAAAGCCTAATAGGCTTGCACTGAGGAATTGATTTGTATGTGGAATAATTACCATAAGCATAGCCAGGATGCAGATTTACACCATGCAGTCGCTCTTTCAGTGGAAGTTCATACAGGAAGGCAAACTTAATATAGTTAACTTCACTTTTAAAGTTTACATGGAAAACTTACAATGGAAAATTGTTTTAAATCTTTTCTGTATTAAGTGAAAATTACCTGCTTTTCATCTAGAAGTTAGCAATACTTATTTTTTTTTTAATTACCGAAGTCATAGTGTAAAAACCTGTAGATAGTCTTGAAATTGCTTCTTACTTGACTAATTTGTTTTAATCTTTGCTTTAGAGCCCTTAATGGAAAGCTGACTGTTCAGGAAGAACAAATTGCAGAATATATTGACAAAATTGGTGTTATGGAGGAAGAAGTGAAAAAAGTAAGTGATGTTTTTGAACTGTTGCTTAAATCTGCCAAAAAATGGAAGACATTAATTCCTCCTCTCAAAAGGAGGAAAAAAGTTTGAGCAAAGAACAGTCAAAAGATTTTTTGACTCTTTTTTTATTGTTGTTCTTAAAGTTCCCCTATTAGTCAAGAGTGGAAGCTTCCTAATCCTTGAGTTAGGAAGTTGAAATAGCATATATAAGTTTAAGAGTGCAATATTTATTTTTTACAGCTGTTTTTCATGTATATTACTTTAATTTGCGTTGCTGGATTTTCAGCAAAAAATTTGCTTGTAAAATGGTATCATCTCAGTTGACAGATACCTGCTTAGGAGCAAAGAATGAGCAGAGAGGGTTATGAGCTCCCATTAACAAATCATATAGAAAATTGAAGCTCCTAGTGTAAGAGAAGTGTAGGTATTAATTTGCTGGAATATGTAACTACTCTATGTAATCAGCTTTACTGACTCTCTTCAGTCTATCTGCTTATATTTGTTCCGTGGGATTTTCTTCCTTGTCCTGTGACAGTGGTTTGCTCTTGTGTTTTGAGTAGGGAAGCAAGGGATTATTTCGATGAGAATGGTATTGGGTTGATATTTTCAGTGAATACAAAGACTATACAAACCTCTAGTCTAGGTTTAAGACCTCTAAGTCTTACAGCTGAAATTACATTTTACATCCTGATATTTACTGTTGCATAATTTGAGGGATGTGAAGTGAGACTGTTGAATTTTTATAAAGTGGTGTTGCCCTATTGTGTTTGTCTTCCTCTTTAGATCACTGAACTATTCACAGTTAGTAAAAATGAACTTCAACAGTGTAAAACAGATCTGCAAATCAAGGAGAAAGAGCTAGAAGAAACACAGAAAGATCTGCAAGAAACCAAGGTTCATCTGGCTGAAGAAGAATATGTGGTTTCAGTTTTGGAAAACAATGAACAAAAACTTCATGGCACAGCTAGCAAGGTTGTCACAGTTCTTGCACCTACTATAAAATGGCTTCCTATGTTTAGGAGTTTCATGGACTGTTCAAGGAAATCAATTGTTGCTAGAGCACGATGCAAGTGAGACAAGCTGAATTTAAGACGGAAAACTAGAATTAGAATGCAGGACTTTCTCTGTGGTAATATTGACAGTTGACTGCTAAACACGCTGGTTAGTCTGGAACTAACTTGCTTTCAGGCCAGTTTGTCATGGGAGTTCCAGTGCTTTGCAGTATCTATTACCATAAGTTGTTTTGCAGAATAAGTAGTTTTCTTTTAGAAACTTATGACTGGTCCTGCAAAACAGTAAATAATATTATAACTGAGGAACCTGGTGTAGTGGCAGATGTTCCTGCTCGTGGAGGAGGCTTGGAACTTAGATGAACTTTAAGGTCCCTTCCAAGCCATTCTGTGAACTGGAGCAGAAAAATAGCAAAAAGTTTGAATAACATTGCCCTGTCACCTCTATATTTTAGGATATGGCTTTGATCAGTCATAATTATCAAAACAGACTTGATGCAGGAAGACAGACTGTCCTGCTACTTAAACTGCAAAGTGATGAAATTTGTATCTTTAGGCAACATGACAATTTTTTCTGTTTGGATTCCTGTAAGATTGAAAGGGAATGCCTGGTTTTTGCATATGGGTTGTGGAATGTTTGTGTGAGACAAATGGGTAGGGAAATAATATATGCTGACTACAAAACCAAGACTCTACTATTTTTATGAATTCCAGATTATTTCAGAACTAGTACTGGAAACTGCTTGCTCGACTACTATATTAAAGAATATAGTTATTGTCAAATTGTTCAGAAAAAAGTTGAAATGGTCAGGAATTTTTCAGTTACTGTTCTGGGATAAATGGTACCTTAATTCCTTAAATACTGAGGATGTAATTTATCAATGCTTTGGTTTCAAAACCAGAACAAGTGATCTCCAGTAAGTAACTTTTTCCCATGTTCTAAGACCATAAATGACATAACACTAAGATTCAGAACAGTTGTAATTTGATAATGTAAGGGGAAATATCTTTCTAGAGAGAGAACTTCTCTAGCTCAGAACTATTATTGATTTTCCTTATATAATATGTGCTTGACTTCTTGTTTAAACACTGACTAAAATAACTTTAAAATTTATAGTTACTTAGTACAGTTGAAGAAACTACAAAAGATGTATCTGGGCTTCATGCGAAACTGGACCGTAAGAAAGCTGTTGAACAGCACAATGCTGTTGTCCAAAATACATTTGCAGTACAAATGAATGCTTTGTTCAACAAAATACAGGATTCACTTAGTGAAAACAGTTTGAAGCAGCAACAGATGTTGACATCTTACACAAAATTTATAGGTAAGTATAATACCTTTATCAGTAAGATAGGTAAATTTTATAGGTAAGTCTAATACCTGTATCAGTAGTCATCCTGAATTTTTGCAATAGTAGTCTCAAAGACTGCTTCCTAAAATGGACCTATTTTAGGAAAGTGGAAGAGGCTTTATTTTAAGCAATGTAATGATTACAGTTGCACCATTAATAATGTATCTGGAATCATCAACAGCCTTCCTGTGCTGTAAGAGACAATAAGGTGATGAGCAATAAAAAAAGTTCCTATCTTACAGAGGAACTCTTAAAAAATTAGTAACTTTTCTTGATCTCTTTCATAGGTGACCTCTTGTCTACCAGTTCTTCAACAGCTGATATTCTTGCATCAGTTATGTCAGCAGCTTGTGCCTCTGTTAAAGAATTGGTGTCTACGGAAATTTCTCACATGTCTGAAAAAATAACACAACATGAGAATCTATCACTGGATTGTAAAGCTGAGCTGCTGAGATTAATTGTTAGTACACTTACTCTTATGCTAGTTAAATATATGAAACTATTATTGATCAAAAGGGAGTTCTGTAAATATTATATAGTTTTTCTGATGCTCTTTACTTGTATCTGCTTCAGCACTTGACCACTGTTATATCCCTCCCCACTTCCTCTCCCATGTTACAACTGCAAGTTGTAATGTAGTATGTAGCAAATACTGTCATAACAGAGTACATGGATATGTATATAGATAGCTTCTTACAAATGTAGATGAAGGAACTGCCATCTTATGTTTTACTTTTTGTTTGTTTGTTTTTTTTACCACTGTTCCTAGGAGGAACATGAAACTGGTTTAGGAAGAGCGTTAAATAGCTTGACACCGGTGGTAGAATTTGTCTTGGGCTTAAACTGTCAGTTTCAGAGTAACATGAAGAAATACTCTGCTGTGGCTGACCAGGTAATGCACATAACTTCTCACTTGTGTTCTTCTAGTTTATTTAATTTACAGATAATATGTTCTTTGTTTTTCTGCAGTGTGTCAGAGTTGTTTCCACTTCGGGTCTGTCCTTTTTGCCTTTATCCTATCCTATGAGTTCTGCCTTTTAACTCTTCCTTTCAGACTTCTTTTTCCGCTTCTGAGTGTGGTAAATTTGCTTTTTACCTCTATTGGCATAACTGCTCACCTAAATGCCTCAGTCGAATGGTAAAACACGGATGCTTAAATCTGTATGTAACAAATATTTGATAATACACATAATATACTCTCCACTGTATTTTAGAAATCTGAAAAAGAAAAATCAACTCAGACGAGTCTTATTACTCCTATTTTTTTTTCTGCTGTCGTACCCAACTTTTCTGTAGTCACTTTGATTCCTGGAGAATGTGATGCTTTATCTTGTTAACAACAATAAGTGCAAACAACACTGCACTTACTGAAGTCCTTTGCAGCCCTACTCTTTCATTTATTTTTTTCCATTTTGTTAAAAACAAGTCTTTGTTTCTGGTGACCCCTTGTTCTGACTGAAAAACTTTCCCCTTCTGTCAATTACAGCTCATGTGAAATCAACTCCCCTTGTCTAAAGGCTTTCTATTGGTTTTCAGACTTAGGCAGCAAGTAGTCCATGGCTTACCAGCTCTTTCTGTACTTTGTCTGCTTTTCTGTTTTGTCTACCTTGCATGCCAGATTTTGTGTTTGGAATAGCCCATACCAAGTTCCAGTCTCAAACTTCAGATTGCTCCAAGTGTTATTTTCCTCCTTTTATGCACAATACCTTATTAATGCCTTTTGACAATTTGCTTGGAGTAGAGTTTGTTTCTATATCAATTATGCTAGGGAAAAGTATCCATTCCTTAAGTAAAGGCAAATATCTAACTGTAAATTTATTTTTTTTCAAGATGGAGATCCATAAACGGGAAATGGATACCTTCTTTGGAGATCTTTCTCTCACTCTGAAAAAAATGCGTGAAGAAGTGGACAGTGGTTTTGCTGAGCTTCAGCATAATTGTGATGATTTAAAAGAAGAAGTGGAAATTACGAGATTGGCACATGCAAAGGTATCCTTAGAGAAAGAATTCCTAACACCAAGTGTGATTGCTTGCTTTGATTTAAACTCTTTGTAGTAGTAAATCATTATACTTATATAAGGACAATAACTTGATCTTTTCTGACAGAAACTTATTCTTTTCAGGTTTTGTTAGGCTGCTTTAAGTCGTTTATGTAGGAAGGTAACAAAAAAGACTTCCCCTTCCTGTGGGCCTGTTTAGCATATGTGTTTATATATATCTCCAAAAGCAAAATGTCTTTATCTTGGCTACACAAAAATTGTACCTTCTGCTTTAGAACTGCAAAACTTTTATCTGCTGCACTTTTAATACAGGTATTCAAGTACCCTCTAAGAATGTTAAAAAGTGCAGAATAACAGTAAAATTTGTGGTATTTTTCTTAACAGAGAACAGCTGAATTCATGTCCTCACTGCAAAGCCAGCTTGACGTGTTTGCTCAGGAGACTCAGAAGAAGTTAACTAATGTACTCACGAAAAATGGAAGCTTGAAGACCACCATCACTGCTATGCAAGAAAATGTTCACTTGTAAGGAGCAGATTATTTTTGCTGTACACTGATGCAAGATAAAACTATACATGAAGAGAACTTCAAAATTAGATGCTCTTCGTATTTATGTTCTTATAAAGTCTTTTGAACGAGGTCTGTATGTTATAGCTGAGTTCTGCCACAGAGTGTAGATCGTAGTTTTCTCTGGGATCATCTTTCCCCAGAGTAAACTAGCTCTACAATGCTTTTCCTCAAACTTCTCTCCTGAGCATGTTGCAGATAAGAGACTGTCATTTTAGGAGCAATATTCTGATGAATGTCCCTCAGTGTCTGGACTTCAGAACATCATATCATAAAGTCTTGAAGTATAATGTATCTATTGCAGCATGCTTCATTCAATTGTAGACTGAACAACGAAGGTGTTGCCAGTTGCTGTTTTTAGCTTGTGGTTGGGGTTTTTTGGTTCTAGTTTGGAGTTTTTGTTTGGTTTTTAACAAATCTACTCATTTACTGCAATTTATATATTTACTAAAAGAGCAACAAGGTTATAATTAACTGCTTTGCTAGAATTGTACTGTTTTGCTGGTTCCAGTCTCAAATATTTCTAAATGTAGATTGTGATTAAAATCTACCTTCCAAAATTTCTGAACTCTTACAAATATGTTGTTGCAGGAAAACTACAGACCTAGTTAGCAGTGCAAAGTCCAATCACAGCAAATGTACTACATCTCTGGATAATTTCTCTCAAGAGCTCAGGGGCATAAATGCTGAAAGTAAGATGATGCTGGAAGAATCCAGTGACCACTGTCAACATCTCCTCAGCAATCTCAAGGATGTGTCTCAGGACACCAAAACCTGGTGTGAATTTACAACTGCTCAGGTGGTCAACTTTACTGATCAGCACCTATCATCCTTCAATGATGAGAAACAGCAGTTTCACTGTTTACAAAAGGTACTTATAGTAATTTGTAATCTAATGCAACATTATGAGACAAACTTTTACTGTAGAATTTGCAGGGAGGAAAGAAATTCTCAGTTACAGTCAGAAGAAAATTGTGGCTTTATTACAGCAGACTCATGTTACTGAGCTTAGATGCAGTGAGAGGAAATAAAAAGCTTAAGTTAATAGGAAGACTTTGGACTAAAAGTGCAAATAACCTCAAAAATGGTGTTATGATTAATGCCATGCAGTTAACTTGCATTTTCATCATCTTGATAGTAGATATCTCTAATTCTAAAGCTTTATCTACAAGTAACATCTCTGGGAGATCTGCACAGGCTATATTCTGGAGGATGCAAATGACTCTTAGTCAGATTGAATTAACATGGGAGAAAGTATTCCTTTTTGGTATCTACAAGTTCTGGCTTCTTATCTGAGAATTTCTCTCTCGGGTTTTTTGTTTTATTAATTTCCATCACAAACTTTACTTCCCACTCTTCTTGTTTTATTGTTGTAATAGGGAATGAAATAGGCAAATCCAGCATTTTGCTTTCTTTCAGAAAGAAAAGCTTAACTGGAAACTCTTTACACAGAGTCACACAGAATATTCTGAGTTGGAAGGGACCCACAAGGATCACTGAGTCCTTAACTCTTAACTGTTAAAAACATTTGAAGTCTCAAGACATCTCTCTATCTGTTGTACCTGCTGAACACTTCAGAAGTTTTATTTCAATGAGAATGGCTAAAAATGCATATTTTCCCCTTCCTCCTACAAATGCATAAAGCTTCTAGTGCTTGTAGGATGTTCACTTCCAATTGAATATCATAATCCTTCAGGGTTGTGCATAGAAGCATGAGGAGTCTGATCAGAATTAGATGGCATCATCTTTATGAGTAGCTTTTTAAAATGATCATACTTTCTAAGAAACTGACTCTCTTGTGAAGATAGTTCTCAAAATGAGAGTGTAAAACTGGCACTGAAACTTCTCAATTTGACATCTCAGTTGTTTCGTTTCAGATCATGTCACTAATCATGCACTGCATCTTAGAAAAGAGGCCATAATCTTACCTTTCCTGTTAACTTGATGTTTTTAGCTGGGTTGTTTGTTTGTTTCGTTTTCAGAAAAGTGAAGAACACTGTGATAAAACAGCAGCTGAAATTGCTGACTGTAGTAGTAGACAAGTGGCTGCTGAGGGGAAGGTACTCAGTGGCTTTCTTGATCAGATAAAGGTGGATAAAGAGATACTTCTGGAGCAGAAGCTGGCACTTAGCAACGAAGTACAGCATGGACTAACTCAGGTTAATGGCTTCCTGCAAGAGGATCTGAAAGTGGATATTCCAACAGGTATTTAAAGTAGGTCAGGGACAGAAGGTCTTACCGAGAGCAATTTGAGTTCCAGAATTCGTAAGTGAATCTCAATGGGGGCATAATATAGCTGGCAGCCTTACACCTTTTCTTAACATGTGTGCAAAGAATGGTGACTGAACAAAGCATGATTTCTGTATTGAGTTAATGTAAAATTGAGGATCTGAAATTAAAGCACTGAATGCTGAAAGCATTTAGTAGTGTACTGATGAAGGGCAATCTTCATTAAAGGGACAACTCCACAGAGAAGAGACTACTTCTATCCAGTCACACTCATGAGAACAGAGCCACGGGAACTTCTACTGGAGCAACTAAGGCAAAAGCAATCTAAGCTTGATGCTATGCTAAGCAGCATGACAGAGGAGATGGAGGATAGTGCAGGTCAGGTATGTATATGAACAGCAAATGAGGCTCTTGAATGAAGATTTCACATCTTTGAGGTTTTTAATGCCATTGTGGAGAGTTGACTAGAATCCCAGAGCTGTTGCAGATTTTGTTTTACGGTGTACTTGGAGTCAAGTATGCTGAGCTTTTGATAAAAACATTCTCTTACTGAAAAATAAGCAATAATATTAATAATTTACTTTTATTTCTGTTTTTCAAAAATGGAAGTTCTATGTCTTCTATAGATCTGATCATGGTTAGTTTATTCACTGAAGAAATTCAGACATTAAATACACTTTTCTGAAAAATTTCTCTTTTAGGACCTGTTGGAAGAGGAGGGAGGGTTGCAAGAATCCAGTGAAAGCCTTGCTAGCAACAAATGCTTAGTGGATACAAACGTATACTGCCACACAAATGGTGGCGTTCCTTTTTTCCAGGTAAATTCCACAGATATTCAAAACAGCTGCGTATTTAAGAGTGAAGAAAATAAATTTTCCGTAATAATGCTGTAGTGTCAAGTCACTTCTTGTAATTTTGTGTAGTCTCATAGCTTCTTTAAATCCTGTAGAATACACTTTGCTAAACTTGAGCTAAAGTCACAGCAGATTCTGATGACAGTTTAATACTGGATAAAATAATGCAGATTTCTGACAAGCTGGACAGAGTGTTGAAAATTCAGCAAATAGTCCTGCATGAAAAAAATTGTCATAACTTGCTAGACAAACACATGTGTATTAATGGAAAAGTTGAAAGTATGTGGAGGGTTTTTTGATTTTTTTTTTTTTTTTTTTTTTTTTTTTTTTTTTTTTTTTTTTTTTTTTTTTTTTTTTTTTTTTTTTTTTTTACTTCTGACCCTTTTGCTCTACTAATGTATCAGCGTAAACTCGTTGGTATATTTGTCTAGGGGTTGGCTTGCTGGGGTAGTATGTTTTCTTGTTGTGGATCCTTTAAAAGCAGCTGCTGAGCTTCTGTGTGTCTGCAGTAAATCTCTTCAGTAAATGCAATATATTAGGAACCTTTTTCAGGAGTTCTACCAACGTTTTTTTTTCTCAGAACGCTATGTACTGCACTGTACATGAGCAAGAAGTCTTTTCTTTGTATTTCTCTTAACATTGGGTATTCTCTTTAAATCCCAGCAGAGAAGTCGTCGCAAAAAGGGTAAAGAGAACAAATCTGCAGCTACAGTGGAGAACAAAATGGAGGACGTGACAGAAGAGTTTCTTCATGAATCCAAGCATCCCTTAAGATTGCTAAACTAAGATATATCTATTGCAAATTCCTGGTTTTAAAAATTTCTATCTCATTGTCTTACTGAGCCATAATGTTTTTGGTTATTCTTGGTCTCTATTGTGATGCAAAGTTGAATCAAAAGATTGGCCTGCTAGATGTCATGCCTTTGTCCCATTTTTATATGCTATGCTCATAGCTTGCAATGTATTAAGGAAAAAACCCCTGCACATTGTGGTGCTGTTATGTTAAATATATTTCTGTGTGTTTAAGTAAGATATCATTTTCTGTTTCTCAGTAGATTTAAAACACCAGAAAGGGATGTTGAAATATGCTTTGTCAGCATTATCAGCTACCATTTTATATATGAATCAACTGTAAAAAAGTGTTCTGGTTTTGTACCTGCTTTTTACTCCAGTCGCTCTCTTTGATACTTCAAATAAATTTTGATGTATGGAAAACAAACATATAAACACCTCAGTGAAACAAACTTACCTGACTTTTTTATATTACCATAATATAAGAATAAGATAATACACTTAATTTAGCTAAAACATTAGCAACTCTCTCTTAAATCTTGTGCTGTCAGAAAAGGATGGTTCTCTCCCTTGTTTCATAATAGACAATAGCTTTATTTCAGTGTCTCTTCACTCTGTGAAAGCTAGTCTCACTGCTGAGTCGTGGGGGGTTTGTTTGTTTGAACCCTACTGTTCTTATCTTTCTTTTAACCTGCAGCTGTGAGGTGTTGGCTGGGGTACAATGTCAACCAGAGCTTGTGTATCATAGACTGGCAACACTTCTTTTGAGATCTAAATACTGAATGTTAAAACATGAAAACTTGGTTACAAATGCAGCTTCTATGTTGTATAATAACAGGGTATTTCCACTACTTGACAGTAGCAGTTGGACCAGCTGCTCTTTTCATGCTCCTTACATGGAAATTTGAAGAAAACTTCAAGCTACAAAGAAGTAGATGAATAGGATTATGATAGGAATAGGGAGATGCTGGATGGCAACTGTTATTTACATTGAAGCACTATTCTTAGGTAACGGTCCAAACATGATTTAAGAGATTGTTCACTTTTCTATATCCAGCTTGCAGGCTTAAGTTTCTTCAAATAGGTGGTCCATGTATTTATTTGTCTGTGAGCAGGTATACCCTGGACACCATTTGGACAGCACACTGCAGTCCTAGTGCTAGAGAGAGAGAGAGATGATTTCAAGTATATCCTACTGATTCTCTGAACTCTAGCATGAGAGAGGCCATTAATCACTTGTGTTTGCCTGAAACACCTATCTTGCCTCTTATTTATCCTCTCTTTTGCTGCTGTGGGCAAAGCTAATTGCTTTCTGACAACCCAATAGGAGGAAAAACATTAATTCCCTTTCAAATGTATAAGAAACACAAATACGGTTTTGTTTTGGGTTTTTGGGTTTAATTGGGGTGGGAGTGTTATATTATCTTAGTACTCGGAGAACAAATTCTCTTGCTCTTGAAACACTGGAGGCTGGGGGATTTTCTCTTTCAGAGCATGCTTGGTGTATTGTCAAATTCTAGCACCAAAAATTTCATGGGCTTAATTCTCTGCGGCCTAGGATACATTTTCTTACACCATGGGCCTGTTAACACTGACTAGATATTAGCACAATCTTCCACGATGGTTCAAGAAATGATTTATTAACTAAAATTCAGCCTGAAGGGTTGATCCTATGGCTTTATGGAATGGTCTAAACCAGAGGGGAGAGGCTCGTGCAAGCCTTTCACCCTACTACATTTTCCCTGTAGAGTTCACAGGATTGGTATGAACAAACTGGAATAGCCAGTACCTGAGGAGGCTTGCTTCCCCAAAATCATGAAGGATTTTGTGCTTCCTGTCTTTATCCTCTTTGAAACTATCTCCTCTACCTTGGCTATTAGGTTCGCTCTGATACAGGCACAGGCTCCTCTCCTTAACAGCTGTATGAATTTTGGAGGCTGCTTGCCTACTTTCTCTTTTCCTAAAGCAGCCCTTAGAGTCACGTTGTCTTTTGTTTGCAATACTGGCAAGGATCTGTCGACCACCGTTTTGTTGGCCCAGGTATCCAGAGGTCACACTGGAAAGCCGAGTCGGATGAAAAATCCATATGCTGAACGTGTCCCGGCCTCTCTGCCCATGCCTCCTCTCCCACTAGATGGCCCTAACACTAAAGGTTGGTCTGAGCTCAGGTACTGCCTGCTAACCAGGACTTGGAAATAAGGATTTTTCCAGGCTTTCTGTCAAGCATCCGTTGAAGAACATGTTTCAGAAGCTAATGTCGAATTTATGCTCCCACATGGAGAATTCCATATTCAAGCTTCGGAAAGGGGTTGTTTTATGAAGTACCGTGCTTGTGAAAAAGATGATCCAATGTATGTCTTGAGCTTTGCTGCAGGGCCAATAGATACTCTTGGTAAGTAAATTCTTTTCCTGGCCTGGTTTCTGGGTTCCCCACCACGTGGGCATTGCTCAAAGCAGAAAGCAACGCTTACAATGTATGACAGAAAGAAAAGGAGCATAGGAAAAACAAAGCAAAAATTGTTTCTTGTATGCAGTCAGGGGAATTGTAGATTTAATCCAGAGGGAAAAAGTGGCACAGTCCAGGCTAGTTTACATGGGGGTTTGATTTTATTCTGGTATAAGGCATCCTTTACAAGAATGGTATGAAGCCATTTCCACAGAGTAATTAAAATGTTCTAATCCCTGACTGACTTAATCCAGCTGAGCACGAGGGAGAGTTGTAGTGACTGGGGCTGTCGCATATGGCTATGTTCTAATTAACCTGATGAGTATTTTTGGGATTCTAAATTAATGGCTGAGACAGCTCTTGATTTAACAAACAACTTACATAGAATAAATGCAATGTGGGGAAATGAAATAAGGAAAAATATGTTTAAATGCATGTAAAGGGGAAAATGCAGAGAGAGCAATAAGAGGGCCACAAGAAGCACAGATAATTAAAGTCACCAGCTTGCTTTTCAAGTGAAAAAATGAGCAGTCTGGAGGAAATGGAGGAAAGGAAACTTCCTGCTTCCTCCTGGAAATTGGGGAGCTGGGGCACTTTCTGCATCAGAGTTGTTGGGGGTTGCAATGTTTATTTGAAGAGAAAGAGGAAGACTAAGCTGACTGGCTGCTATTGATGGCTGCCTTTATTTTGGGTATCAAACAATTACATGAGGCTAGAGGAGTGAGGAGAAGGTGCATAGTTGCTAGACTGCTTTTCTTTTTCCTGTTAGGTGTCAGTCACCATTGCAATTAGCTGTTAAATGGGCAGAGGAAACAGGAGGAAGCCTTTAACTCTTTGGAGTGATAGAAGAAAAATAAAGCTAGAAAGAGGTGGAAAAATAAAGTTTAATGTTTCTTTTCCATGAAAAGTAGATTGAAGGGGAAAAAAGGAAGAGTTCTAATGTTTGAAAGCATTAAAACCAGGAAAATAAATATACTTAATAACTACATATTTTAAAATTTATACATTTTAAACAAGTGTTTACAGCTATTTGACTACTATTTTTTTTCTTTCCCTGTTGCTAACTACTTTTTATGACAGAGGGCAATGTTCTTTAAACTGTACGCCCAACAATGCCACTACTTTATAAAGTTAAATAACAATAAATCATGCTAGGCTTTGCATTAGTAAGCTTTAAGTGACATGGTACTGTAGGTGAGATGTAGACCTGGTAGCAAAGTAGGCTGTTCTTGTAGGCTGAACACAAACTCCATCTACAGCAGCATTGCTATATAGCTCAGTCTTGAAAATGTTAAAAGTATGAGCACAGTGAGTGCAGCAAAGGAATATTTAAATCTCTACATTCAGAATACTTCTCAAATCATCTTTGGCTCCCTAGAAAAGGATCTACCTACCAAAAGGAGGGCACATGTTACAGCTACACAAGTGCTCTTCAGACAGCTAAAAAGGAGCAAATACTTGGTCTAGCAGTCCCTCGTCATGTAAGAAGTTAGAAACAGGCTGTCATTTTTATATGAGATCTGAAAGTTGTTCCATATTTCCAGCTTTCTAAAACTTTGAGACAATTCAGTTTTCAGGTAGCACAAAGTTAAATTTTGTAAAATAATGGAGATTAACTGGATTGCTTTCTTTTTCTCCAAAATAATAAACCTATATAAATGTTCCCTTGACTTCCTTAGTTATACTGAAATGCTTCTGTGACTCTTACTCTATTCCTAACTTAAGCATTGCAATTCAAAGAATGAGGCACGACTAAAACTTTGAACTTGACTAGTGCATTTCCTTTATTAAAAATTATCAAGTAAAGGGATGAAATAAGCAAAAATATCGCATAAAAGTACATTAGATTCCTTCAGAGCTTTCCAGTTCTTGTTGACATATATATAGTTTTTATTATAATTTTATTCTGATGATATGCAGAGCACTAAAGCTAGTATGTGAAGATTTTTTTCTTGTGATAAAGAGTTGTATTTTCATTGGCAGAAGTTAATTTAAAAAAATTTTTTTCTTAATTAACAAAGTTGTTTAAAGTGAAAAATAACAATTAGCAGAAAAGACTATATGGTCTTTTACCATTTTTAAAAGAAATTATATACATATAATTAATGTATTTAATTAATAATTACATGTCTTACATGGTAAGACAGTTCCATTCCTCCTCATCCATTAAAGTTATAATACTGAATGTTGCTTCTCTGAGAACTGATTTCCACACTGTGCAAGTCCAGTCTTCCTAATTTTGCTACAGTCACTTGATTTATAGTAAAGTAGTAAGATGAAGGACCAGAATCTCCATTTTCCAAAGTATACACTGAGTTGACAATGATTCTTAAAAAAACCAAAGAACAATTTAAGGCCCTGTTTGGTCTCTATGGCCAAAAGATTTCATGGTATTTGGAAGGGTTTGCCTAGGCAAGCCTGGAAGTTGTTTTCATCCCTTGTTCTGTATGTTCTTTCACAGGTACTTCAAGCATACCTGCTTCCCCTACTTTGTTAAAATGACTTTGGGATCTTTCAGAATAGGTAGGATGTTATTCTGCTGTTAAAAAACCCAATGTCAATTGAAGCTTGCACTGACTGCAGTGGCCACTGTATTATGCCAGTGTCCTTAGGCAAAGTGTGTATCACAGGAGGAGGAACTTTTTAAATCTCCAGTGGCACAGGTGGCACAGATATCCCCTCTCTTCTGGTACATCATGCTAATCTGAGCACCACTGCTCCCAATTTGAAAGTAAAAACTTGTAAATATGTTTCTAAGAGAATAAATTACAATTTGGGGGGGTTGGAGGGTTAGGTTTTTTTTGTTGTGGGAGTTCTTTTTGTTTGGGTTTTTTTTATGTTTTGTTTTGGTTTTTGACACAGAAGAGCTTAAGTAACGCCTGCTGTATATAGATTGTTTGGGGAAACTGGTTTTTCACATTTCAATTAGTTTCCCCTAACACTCAAACTAAAACCTAAGCAGCATTGTCATTATGTTCAAAAGGTAAAGGAAACAAAGATGTGAAT